TTTGAAAGCATTAAAAAATAGATTTATCATTGATTACATAAATCGGTTAAAGTTTGTTTAATTCAATTGTATAGATCTATAATAAATATAATAATATTATAAATAAAAATAAATAATACAATTTGCAATTGTGTAAAAACCAAGCAAGGCATACGTGGAAAGGTAATGTTCCAAAAAATTTTTAACGGTTAAATAAAAGAAATAATTTTTTCTATCTAAATATTTCCATAGATTTGTTACTGAAATAAAAATAAGAAACCAATTAAATTTTGAAGCTTTATAAATTATTTTTTAATATATAACGCAATATCATTACAATTAGAATTTGAAGAAGAAAATAAATTTATTTTCTTCACTTGAAAGTTCATATCTGGAAGAACATAACAGATAAAACAAATATATGAACCTTAAATTATTATTTGTCAGATGTAACAAGAAAAATTAGTTTTTTAAAAAAGTTCTCACAGGGTCCTAGTAGGGGACTCGCTATAATTCACAAAATATGCTTGTCAATCCCGCGGCCCTCCTAGTTCCTATAAAAAATTTAATTACCTACATTGCAAGTTTAGGATTATTAAAAAAATATCAAATTTCAAAATAGCCGATCTGTAGAATACAACCGACAACTTCTTAAAACAATATTGTGCCATTTTGAATTTTGGAATTCTGACACTAATAGATTCGTAATAAGTGACGTACGAGTGTTTCCATAAGGGTTCCGTCGGCATATACAGAACCCTAAAACACTCCTCGAAATGACCTTAAATTAGTGATTAGAAGAAATAAACAAAAAATTAGCGTGTATCACTAAATTCCATTCAGTAAAATAAATATTCCGAAATTTTTCCATGTGGAAAGAAATTCAGTGTACAAATACATACATATAAACACATATGAGATGCGGGTGGTATGAGAGGGAGGATATATACATATTATATCGCTAATGTAAGTCCCAAAGAGGAACAGGTAAAAAGAGAGAACATATAAGGACAACATGTTGGGACACAGGCAACGATCTGGTCGTGGAATCTCTATAAGCTATAAGATGCTTTTTCGGGGGCAGAATGTTGGCGCCGTTTATAAGACTTGTATTGTGTATAAGTTAACACATACTATCAATTCCCCAAAATGCAGATGCTGTATGTACTCTCGAAAAAAAAGGAACGGCGATGATCTTTTTCAGAATCTTTTGGAATGCAGTGCTTGATAATGCAGAAAAATTTATCGTATACCCTATATCTATCAAACTTTGCTAATTATAACATTGTCTCTGATTTATATACTCTGCGCATTATATATACATTATTTGCATTTTACTTATTTCTTTTATTGTCGAAAAAAAGAATTTATAAACATTCGTCGCGTATATACAAAAACACAATTCAATTTTCTTTCCGGTTTATCGTTTAACAAACAATCAAATTTGCAGTTCTTGTTTGCTAATTATACACACGAAAAATTAACAATCGTAATTCGTACTAATTATTTATTCGCTATTACTTCAGTTGTTAATTTTCCAAAAATTATTTATTCCTTTCTTGTGAATAATTCACATTCAGAGAAGAATTTTATTTGAACAGTCATTAAATTTCATTGGAACAATTCAATAGAATTTAGGAATTTAAGAATTTAGAATAATTATTTATATATTATAATATACTACCAATTAAATTTTTCTTCTTTTGAATTTCGTGCCAAAAGTTCTTTAAATTGCCGCCTAGGTGGCATAAAAGTTCTCTCATAAACGACAAGATTTACTTCAAAATTCATATACGAATAGTATAAATAAAAAAAATAATAAATAAAAAAAATAATAATAAAAATAATAATAGTAATAATAATAATATTAATAATAATAATTACAATAATAGTAGTAATAATAGTTGATGCGATATTTTGAATTTAGTAAAATAGATTATACAAATTCTCTTTCTCTCCTTACGGATTCTATTAATTTAACTCAAGATTTGCAATTATTATCATAATGAATGACAACTTAATAAAATGCAATTTATTATTTACAATTATATTTATCTTTTCTATTTGTATTTTTGCCACTTTAAATTCTTGAAATTTTCTTTATGCAAGTCCGCAAGCCGAAATGGAAAGTATAGATATAGATATATATATATAAATATTTAAACGGAAAAGATATAATATACAAAATGGGGAGGAAATAAAAAAAAAATTTCGAGAGAGATACAGTGACGTTTTTAGTTAAATGGAAATTAAGATGGAAAAAGACGATAGTAAATTGAATGGAAAAAGCCAAATAGGAGTAATAACATTTTGATAGTGAAATAGAAAATAAAAGCAATTTCATTATCAATTCTTGACATTAAATGAAATTAAACTCGCTGCAAAATTATTTTTACAATTGAATATATTAAAATATTTATATATATATATATGTATATATGTATGCATGAGAAAGAGAGGAATAATCATGGAAACAAACAGTAACTCTTTGATTTTAATTGCATAAGAATAATCACTCAATAGCTATTCAATAAATATACATTAATATCCATTTAATTATCTACTTACTATATAATAATAATTCTCATTTTACATAATTTATACTTTTCAATTTTCTTATATATCAAATTTCAATATATCGAACTTTCTATATTAAATTTTATCAAAACTCCAAATCAAAATTCAAATTTTTTTTTTAAATATGAAATCAAAAATTAAATTTTCCTATTAAAATTCAAAATTAAATTTTAATCTTCGAATTCAGAATCAAATTTTTATTGTAAATGGTAATATCAAGATTCAAAATCAAATTTTAGTATCTCATTTTAATATGAAATTTTAAAATTAAATTATAAAATCAAATTTTAATATCAAAATTCAAAATCAAAATTCACAATAAAATTTGTATATCAAATTTTAATATCAAGATTCAAAATTAAATTTTAGTATCAAATTTTAATATCAGAATTCAAAATCAAATTTTAAACTCAAAATTCACAGTCAAATTTTTATATCGAATTGTAATATCAAGATTCAAAAATAAGTTTTAGTATCAAATTTTAAAATCTAATTTTAGTATCAAATTACAAAATCAAATTTAAATATCAAAATTCACAATAAAATTTTTATATCAAGATTCAAAATCAATTTTTAGCATTAAAATTCAAAATCAAAATTCACAATCAAATTTTTAAACCAAATTGTAATATCAAGATTCAAAATCAAGTTTTAGTATCAAATTTTAGTATCAAAATTCAAAATCAAATTTTAATCACAAAATTTACAATCAAATTTTTATATCAAATTGTATTTTATTCAGATTCAAAATCAAGTTTTAGTATTAAATTTTAATATTAAATTTTAGTATGAAATTACGAAATCAAATTTTTATATAAAATTTCAAAATCAAAATTCACAATAATATTTTTATATCAAATTTTAATATTAAGATTCAAAATCAAGTTTTAGTATCAAATTTTAATATCAAAATTCAAAATCAAATTTTATTCTCGAAATTCACAATCAAATTTTTATATCAAATTGTAATATCAAAATTCAAAATCTAGTTTTAGTATCAAATTTGAATATTAAATTGTATCAAATTACAAAATCAAATTTGAATATCAAAATTCACAATAAAGTTCACAAAAAAATTTTTATATCAAATTTTGACGTAATTAAAAATTACTTGATTCAAGTAAATATTTTTTGACAAAAGTAAAAATAACTTGATTCAAGTAAATATTTTTCTGACGTAAACAAAAATTACTTAATTCAAGTAAATATTTTCTGAAGATAAATAAAAATTAATAATAAGTGTTCAATTCAATCTACATATTATAAATAAAAATTATTTGATTCAAGTAAATATTTACTTTTTCAGTAAAAAACTATCTAATTAAAGTAAATATTTATTTGACAATAGGAAAGAACTCGTTTATTTGAATAAAAACCCATTATTTTTTCACTGCATTATATAAACATTATTATACTTTCTCCAAAGAAGAAAAATCTATCAAAAAGCAGTGTATATATTTTATTGGTGAACAATTTCATTAATTTAATAAATCAAAAGACCATTTCTTTTTCGCTTTAATCTATTTTTTTTTCTTATTTATAAATACACTGATTAACGTTTGAAATGGACCGTAATGATGTTTCTAGATCCGAAAAAGAAGCTTAATCGCAAGGATTGTAACAGGGGTCTCGCTATGGCGCCAACGCGGGTAGCTCTTATCAGTAGAACCCGTTATTTTTTCCACTAAGACATCATCAGAAATCACTTTTTTTTCAAACTCATTTTATTTTCTAAATCCTTTTTTTTCTACTTTATGTCGACCTTTCTGTCCTGGTATTTTAATGCATGCTTTCCATTTTGTAAATCTTTTCTTTCACCTTTATTTATATGTCTGTATATGCTTTTCACGTATTGTTTTATTCATTTCAATATTTTTCAAACAATTCAAATAATTTATTTCAAAATATCAAGAATTTAAAAAAAAATAACTAACCTTACAAAATATATTTAGAATGAATGTAAAAAATAACAAATAAGTAATATAATTATTGATAATTAATAATAATAATAATAATAATAAAATAATGAAAAGAAAGCAGTTTAGAACTTGTTCTCTTTTAATTATAATTTTCCATAGAATCGGTTAGATTCTAAAACAATTAAACTATTAAAAATATTTTCAAATTTAATTTAAATAAAAAAATGCAGTTTCGATTAAAAATTAATTTACTATTCTTTTGTAGAAAAAATGGAAATTTTTAATTCCTTGACATAAACCTCGAAATATATCAAAATGAACGGACAATAGTGTGACGACTTGAACTTTTTTATTTTCTTTCTTTCTTTTTGATTTACAAATAAGGTGAATTTAAAAAGTAAATTTCCAATTTTGTAATTTCCGGAAACTTTATTTTGTAGACACGATGTTAATATAATTAAATTGAAGGTAGTAAATAATGCATACGATTTCAAAACTCTTGATCCCACTTAAGGTGAGAGTACTCAAAAAGCAAAAGTCAACCATTAATGAACGTCATTCGTTATTCGTCTATCGGTTCTATCGAAGGTATTACGTGAAAAACAAGAAAATAACAAACCATCAAAAGTGTTAATAATTTCGTGCGATCTTCACCGATCGCATGAATGTATTCTAATTTTCTCTTATTTTAAATTACCGACAACTCAAAAAAAAAAACAAATTGATATATTTTTCTTAATTTAATTGTTGTGAGATAGAAAATTAAATTTTGTTAAGAAGCAAAAAAAAAAAAATGGAACCAATAATGACGGGAGATGAAATAGTGATATCGGGAATATCAGGAAAATTTCCAAACAGTGAAAATGTTAATAAATTGCAAAATAATCTTTTAAATAAAATTGACTGTGTTACTGACAGCAAAGTCCGATGGAATTTCGGTAGGAAAATTATTATTTAATTAACAAAATATTAAAATTTACTTCAATTTTAGATGTGATTTTATAAATTTTGAAATATGTGCAGAACATCCAGATGTACCACCGCGAATTGGTGTTATGAAAAGTATTGATACATTCGATCGTATATTTTTTGGAATTCATGGAAAATTGGTGGACTGTATGGATCCAATGGTAAGAATGATGATTGAAACAACATACGAGGCAATAACGGATGCTGGAATTAATCCAAAAGAATTAAAAGGAAGTAAATCGGCCGTTTTCACCGGTAGCAGTTTTTCAGAATCGGAAAAAACATTCTTCTTCGAAAAATTAGAGGTAAACTATAAAAATAGATAAATAAAAGAAAATATTCCCCGTGGATGAGATAAATAATGAACTTCATTCTATTTCTAGCAAAATGGATTCGGTTTACTGGGAGCTAGTAGGGCAATGTTGGCAAATCGACTTTCGTTTTTTTTCGGTCTCACTGGACCAAGTGTTAATGTCGACTCTACCTGCTGTGGAGGTATGACTGCTCTAGATCAGGGAATAGCAGCACTTAGAGAAGGAAGGGCCGAAAGCGCAATTATTGGTGCCAGTAATGTTGTTCTACATCCGAACATATCCTACCAATTATTCCAATTAGGTAATTGTATCACTAAAATATTTACCGATCCACAAGTTCTGAACTAGTGGATGTTTGTGAATTCTGTAATTATTATTCATTTAAGTATACTCAAAACATTAGGTAAAAATTTTAATGTAAAAATTTCAGGACTTTTATCGCCCGACGGGATTACAAAATCATTCGACAATAAAGCTAATGGTTATACACGCAGCGAAGGACTTGTTGTACTCTTCCTACAAAGGGCGCGTGACGCTAAACGAATTTATGCCGAGGTCAAAAGTGCACGCATGTTTTTTGGAAATGTCAACGATAATTATCCATTTTTCTTACCAACTCACGATTCTCAATCGAAAAATATGCAAATGACATTGAAGGAAGCAGGTCTTTTGGGAAAGGATATTTCATATGTAGAAGCCGACGGTTCAGGTATTAAGGACATGGATGCCGAGGAAGTAAAAGCAATCGACGAGGTTTACAATGTGGGACGACATTCGCCTCTTTTGATTGGATCTATCAAATCTAACATTGGATCATGTTCGGCTACAAGTCCACTTAATGGAATTATTAAGGTTTTTGCACTTACAATTATAATTATTAACCTAAAACAATAAAAAGACAGAAAATAAGAGTAACTATTAATATTAAAAACTGAAATTATTAATTAATTTCCTTTAAATTTCTTTATTTTTGTAGGTTATCACGGCAATGGAAAAAGGATTCATTCCACCAAACTTACATTTTAAAGAAACGCCTGATAAAATTCCGGCCATTAAAGAAGGTCGTTGTAAAGTGGTAACGGAACTAACTCCCTGGACTGGAGACTATGCAGTCGTTAATAGTTTAGCATTAAGTGGTGCTAGTGCCAATGTTGTATTAAAAAATTACAAAAAAGATAAGAAGAACGGAGGAAAACCAGACGACAATCTTTCCCGACTAGTAACAGTATCTGGATGTACAGAAGAAGCTGTTGACGTCCTTCTGAGCGATGTTAGTAATTGAAATCACTATTTTGTTTTTGATTCTAAATTTTGAATTCAACTTGAAAGTTTATGATTGATAATAACAAATGTACATTTTTGAAAGCGCAAGTAGTGGAATTCTGTATGTGACATAATTAATTAAATTTCACAGTTGGAAAGCCGACCCGCGGATGTAGAAATGCTTCAACTTTTGTACGATGTATTCGATACTGAAATACCAGCTCATTTATATCGAGGTTATACATTACTTCCTCCTGATGGATTAGTAAAAAATAAAACACGAGAGATTCAATTTAATACCGGACTCAAGAGGGAAATATGGTACATGTTTTCTGGCATGGGTTCACAATGGGTTGGAATGGGTAAGTTATGTCTTGAAACTACAAGAACATTTTAAAAATTAAGAAATACTTGAATTAACCGAATAAATTCATTCATTATTCATTCAGCGAATGTAGTAAGTAAAGCAATTTTCAAAAAAATTATTAATTTTTAAAAATTATCTAACAGGAGAAGCATTATTGGAAATACCAGTTTTCGCAGAAGCTATAAAAAAATGCGACCGTGTCTTAAAACCAAGAGGCATCGATATTGTGCGTATTATTACAGAAAAGGACCCAAAAATGTTTGACAACATTGTCAATTCATTTGTTGGAATTGCTGCTATTCAGGCAAGTGAAGAAGCTCTAAAGGATAATTTTTTAAGAAAACTTTTCTTGCATTACTAAAAAAGGATTTTATTATTGCGAATAAAAATATTTAACAAAAGACCTAGATTTTGGGAAGCAATTAGTCAAAAGGGTTAAAAATAATTAATGATTTTAATTGTAGACATAATAGTGATCAATACTTTTATTTCAGATTGGCTTAGTAGATGTCCTAGACTCGGTGGGACTGAAACCAGATTTCTTAATTGGACATTCTGTTGGAGAACTAGGTTGCGCTTACGCTGATGGATGTTTTACAGCAGAACAAATGGTCCTTGCTGCATTAAGCAGAGGATTAGCATCAGTAGAAACAGAAATGCCAAGAGGTTCTATGGCAGCAGTTGGTCTAGGCTATGAAGAAATACAAAATCTCTGTCCAACTGATATTGATGTAGCATGCCACAACAGTTTAAGCAGTTCCACTATCAGTGGTCCGGCAGATTCTATGAAAGCCTTCGTCGCACATCTAACAGTTAGTAACATTTGGTTTTCAAATAAAAAATTTAAATGTAAAACTAAATAGCATTCGGATGAATAATATTCTGATATATCATGATCAGAAATTAACATAATCTATATGCTAAAAAATTTTAAAATAAAGCTCTTTTCTAACTAAAGATAAATACACATTTTAGGATAAGAAAATTTTTGCCAAAGAAGTCGCATGCAGTAATATTGCCTACCACAGCCGATATATTGCTCCCGCAGGTGAAAAGTTAAAAAAATACCTTCAGGAGGTAATTCCTAATCCCAAACTTAGAAGTAATCGCTGGGTAAGTAGTTCAGTACCACGTGATGAATGGAATTCAGCAAGGGCTCGACTATCCTCTGCAGAATATCACACAAATAACCTTTTAAATGCTGTTCTCTTTGCCGAAACTGCAAAATCTATTCCATCGAATGCAGTTGTTATCGAAATAGCCCCCCACGGCCTTCTACAAGCGATCGTTAAGAAATCATTACCAGAGAATGTTCTCAATGTACCCTTAACCAAACGAGGTCATCCAGACAATGCATCATTTATTTTTACTGCTTTGGGAAAAATATACAACGCTGGTTACAACGTTAAAATTTCGAATCTTTATCCTAAGGTCAATTATCCAGTATCACGAGGAACACCATCAATTTCCTCAATAATTCGATGGGATCACTCAGCTAATTGGTAAGAAAAGCAGAAAACCCTCGCGATAAAAATGGGTATAGTAAAAAATGTTCCACTTAGAAGAATCTTTTAAGTATTATTTAAAAAACTACTTCGTAAACTAAAATGTATATTTATCGAAGACTCACTTCTTGATCTACAGGTACACTAACTTTTTCAAGCAAGCAAATGAAGTAAAGGAAGGAGAAATGAAATTCACAATCAATTTGAAAGACGAGAAGTGGAAATATTTGGAACATAATAAAATTGATGACAAAGTGATTGTACCCTCTTCTCTTTATTTAACACTAGCATGGGAAGTTCTAAAATCCCTAAAAGAAAAATCTGAAGAATCCGTTGTTTACGAAAACATAAAAATTCATAAGCATCAAGTAGAATTATCAAAAGACAAAAATATCGAGTTAGTTGTTATGGTGCAAAAAGGTACTTAATTACTACTTCATGATAAAAAATTACCATTTAAGTTTACTACATGTTGCACAGATACAAAGAAATTACTGCATTTTTTAGGTACCGGTAGCTTTGAAATAACAAATAATGAAGAATTACTCTGCTCTGGAATCATACAAACTACCAATAACCCCAATCAGGAATGCAGTTTAATTCCTAAAACGGCTGATAAAGAATATCAAGATCTAAGTGAAAGTGACATTTACACAGAGTTGCAGATGCGAGGTTTAAAATACTCAGGTTTATTTAGATGTATACGTAAAGCATCAGGGAATGGAAGCAATGGGGTTATGGTATGGAAAGATGATTGGACAGCATTTTTAGAAGGAATGATTCAAATGCATATCCTTGGAAGTGACACTAGAAAAGCACAAGTGCCAATCACAATAAGAAAAGTTATTATTAACTTAAAATTACAAAAAGAAGTTGTTTATAAGTTAGAAGGTGAGCGTAACTTAAATTTTTTTATTTTTATCATCTCATCTATATTCTACGTGCAACAGTAATTCCTCTATCGTAATAATAATTGTATTTTTAGAAATTCCTGTCACAGTGTACAGAGGACAAAAAACAGTTAATGCAGGTGGTGTACAAATGGAAGGAATTGCCCATAGGTTGATACGACAGGAAACGTATAAAAATAATGTTATTACAGAGAAACTTCAAATTGTTCCTGGTACAGACGGAGCGCCATCTAGTTTAACAGAGATCTTGAAGATAACTATTCAACTTTTACAAGACAATTTGAAAACTTCAAATCTAATTCATATTGTTAATGATGAAAGTACAGATTCAAAGAATGTAAAGCAAGTGTTGGAAAATATTCTTCAAGACAGTGCGGAAAGTAAAAGACATAAAGTAGATGTAGTTTCATCAACGTGGTTAACGAGGAATAAATCAGATTTTAGTGACATTGCACTCTTGATCCTTTCTAATATTGAAAAATATACTCCCGAAAAAATTTCCAATATCATCTCAGACGGTAAATTTGTATTAGCATTTACAGAATCAAAAAACGTAGATACTGTTCTAAAAATGGTACATTCTGTGGGCGCAGGTCTTGTACTTAAAAAATATCCATCAAACAATCAAATCGCCTTGCTTTTGAGACAAAAGCAAACTACAAGCAAGATAACTGTTTTGGATATCAATGATAGCAAAGATTGGTCGAGTCAAATAAAAACAGTACTGAGATCTAAAGATTATGACCGTTTAATAATTGCCATCAGATCAAAACAGTGTTCCTATATATGCAAAAACATTGAAGTTCTTCAAAAAGAACGAAATGGACATAAAATTCAAATTGTAGACATACTGGATCCAAAAGTTTCCAATTTCTCTTTAGATGATTCATTAATTAGCTCGCATATGAATCTCGATTTGAAAATGAATATTCTCCTGCCGGGTAAAATTTGGGGAACATACACGCATACTCCAATTGCCTCCAATGTTTGTCAAGCGGAAAACTGGAATGCTAAACAAATGAAAAGTTCTGATTTGGAGTCAATTAAGTGGGTTGAAGGAATTTCTAAGAGATCTGAAGACGCAATTAAAGTCGAATACTCTTCAGTTAATCAAAGTGACATACTGTCGGCAAGTACAAAAACTTTATCAAAAGACTATGAAAAAAATAGACTCGAAATTAGATCATTTGGACAAGAATATTCTGGAATTAATGCACAAGGAAAAAGAGTAATGGGAATTGTTGAAAATGCTGCATTTTCAAATTACATAGAAAGCAATATTAATTTTACATGGAAATTACCAGAAAATTGGTCATTAGAAGATGCTGCAACTGTACCTTTAGCATACGCTACTGCATATTTGGCATTGATAAAAGGGGAACTAAAAAACAACGAATCAATTTTCATCTACGATGGCACTTGTTCCATTGGACAAGCTGCCATTAATTTAGTATCAAACGTCACATCTCAAGTATTCGCTGGATATACTACTAATAACGACAAAAAAAATCTAAAAGACAGCTTTTCAAATATTCCTGAAAATCATCTTATTAGTACATCAGGTACATTTCCCGATCAAATCCTCGCAAAAACGAATGGAAATGGAGTGAATGTTGTTATATATAATGGAGACGATTTAAGTAAAATAGAAACCTGTCTAATGTGCGTTAAAAATCAAGGAAGAATCATAGTTGTAGGAAACTTACAACAAGCATTCAGTAAATCAGTGGGAATGGAAATATTTTTAAGAGAAATTGGTATATTCTCTATAGTTACAAAGAAAATAATTAATCTTGATTTAGCAACGAAAAAGAAATTATCACAATTAATTGAGAACGGATTATTAAACCGAACTGTTAAACCGCTACCCAGATGTGTCTACTCAAGGGATCTGCTGAAGGATGCATTTATTCACGGAGCTTCTAAAAAAGTTTTTGGAAAAGTAATATACTTTTTTGGATTTTGAATGTCAATTTCAACACATAATGTTTTATTACAATTTATTTCTTTACAGATCCTTGTTAAGATACAGCCAGAAGATGGAAGTAATATAGCTCCTTCAATACATCGTTTCTCGTGCAAAAGCGAAGCCTCCTACTTGATAATTGAAGGATTAAGTGACTTTGGACTGGAACTAGTCGACTTTCTAGCGGTTAGAGGTGCCAGAAGTATCGTCATAGCTTCCGAATCAAAAAGTACCAGAGCTTTTAGTAATCACCGGATAAGTTTGTGGAGAAGTTACGGAGTTTCAGTTACAATTCGAGAAGAACTGGATCTTACACATCGTGAGAATGGAAATGCTCTTCTCGAGGAAGTTGGTACATTTGGCACAGTGGATGCAATTTTCGATCTTCAGCGCCTTGACAATTCATCAAGAAGGTCTTCCAATGCAAAATATTTGTTCACCAAACACCTCTTTGAAGAATCTAGGCAAATGTGTCCTAACCTACGCCACTTTATTATCTTTTCAACAAGCAAAGTTATCGGTGAAACCATTGATGACTTTTTATTACGTGAAGTTGAATTGACAAAAATTTGTCAACCAAACTCAAAAGGAGTTACAGGACTTTTGATTCTCTTGGGACCTGTTTCTGGAATTGCGGAAAAAACAACTGAATACGAGAGAAATGTACCACTCTTATCTATTTATAGTATTATTAAACAATTGGATATATTAACTGGATCAAATACCTCTATTGCGTCTGTTTATCATAAATCAGAAGATGATACCGAAAAGGTAAAAACACTTTTTTGAGAAAAAATTGCTTTTAATTTCAAATGAAACATTTTTCTATTAATGGATTCAATTTTCAGGTGCCAGAACATTTCCACGCCGTTAAAGAAACAGAGAAATCAAAATTTGTTAAATATATTAATTCAGATCAATCTTTAGGGACATTCTCTAGGTATAAAATTACAGACGAAAATTAATGATTAAATTAATTTAATTTCTTTAAAGGATCAGTTTGAGAAATATTAATAGTTGCTTAGTACATACATACGACGTCTACTATTAACCAAAAAATATTTTTTATAATTTTTTGGAATAAAACTATTGATTGTATGAAATAGGACGATATTTACTATCTAAATTAAATCTTCTTCCTGTAGAAAATGAGTATTTTAGAAATTCAAATTTTCTGTTATTAATAATGTTTCACGAATTATGAATTTAAACTTTGATTTGAAAACAATGAAAATTTTTCATAGCAATAATTAAATGAAATGGAAATTTTATTCATGTTTTACTCATTAAGTAATATATGGGAATTTATAAATGATTATTTCCTCTTTGAAAACGAATTAAAAAAGTCTGTTTGCAATATATCATTCCCATCGCATATGCACTTAAATAAAGTCACAGAAAATAAAGGTTTTTGTGCTGAATTTAAATTATTTACTTTTATAAAAGTGTATTAACATTTTAAGTAAAATTATAAATAATTTATTTTTATTAAAGTACTAATAAAATAAAGAAAAAGATGATTTCAAAGCTGACGGGAGATGAAGTAGTGATATCGGGAATGTCTGGAAAATTTCCGAACTGTGACAATATTGACGAATTGCAAAATAATCTTTTAAATAAAATAGACTGTATTACTAACAGCAAAGCCCGCTGGGACTACGGTATGAATTGTTTTAATTATACAAAAAAATCTAAAAAAATGTATTTTAAATTTCAAACTTAAGAAATAAACTTTATTGAAGTATGAGAATCAAAAATGTTTGTTCTAAGATGTAAATAGTCTTATAAGCAACTAATTTTTAATGACAGCCATTGTTTTCGTGGGCGTTTGCAGACCAAGAAGTAAATCAGTACTCGCAAACGACAACGTAAACAATTTGGCTGCTTTGATCTCGTGTTACGTATGGTACATTTATTCCAAAGGTACAAAAGTAGCGATTTTAGATAGTAAATGACAGGAAATAAAAGGTATTCATTTGTTCGACTTGCATGAAAATGGAGTTTATTTTTACCTTTGGACAAAAATTACATGTAACAGAGTGTCATTTTTACCAATGGGAAAAAATGACAGCAATATTCGCATGGTCGAACAAATAAACAGACTTACTCCATATTGTTTGTTATCTAAAAGCGTTATTATTGTGCCAGTGGGATAAAAAAAACCTTAATTAAACAGAACACCCACAAGTGCCACCGCGAATCGGTATCATGAACAATGTTGACAAATTTGATAATGCTTTTTTTGGAGTTCACGGAAAATTAACAAATTCTATGGATCCAATGATAAAAATAATGATAGAAACATCATACGAAGCAATTGTGGATGCTGGAATTAATCCAAGAGAATTAAGAGGGAGTAAATCGGCAGTTTTTACCGCAAGCACTTTTTCAGAGTCGGAAAAAGCGTTTTTCTACGAAAAAATTCAGGTTCAATTTTTGTAGTATTTCTAACATATCTACTTTTTTGGTTTAAGACTAATAAATATGCTAATTTCACTATTGGAAACATGTAAATTTACAATCAGAATCTATGATTAGTGTTATTAACTAATTCTCTGTTAATGAAGGTAATGTATTTAAAAGAATATTTTCAGTGTTAACAATTTAAAAAAAATAAAAAGAATTTCCAGCAGCAAAATAAATTAATATGGTTAAGTTTTTTAGACATTTCGAATTGTTCAGAGCAATGCTGATTTTTTTTATATTTTTAGGCAAATGGTATTGGTTTATTAGGAGCTAGTAGGGCAATGTTGTCAAATCGAGTTTCGTTTTTTCTCGGTTTTACTGGACCAAGTATTAACATTGATTCTAGTTGTTGTGGAGGTATGTCTGCTTTAGAGCAGGGAATAGCAGCACTTAGAGAAGGAAGGGCCGAAAGTGCAATTATTGGTGCCAGTAATGTTATTCTACACCCGAGCATATCCTTCCAGTTATTCCAATTAGGTAACTATATACACTTCCGTCGGGAATTATCGGTACGGCTGCACGCGCACGGCCCAAAAACATACCAATCTTAAAATCACGATTTTTTTGGAAATACAAATGTCAGAAAATTAATTAATATACCATTCGAAAGATTATTAAATTCAACGATTAATGATACATAACTGAAAATTTTAATAATTTATACAAAGATTGCAGCAATCGACAAATTTGACAAAAAAATTTTAAAAATACAATTTTTTTGGAAATTTTTTCAACCCTTGCACATTTTTTAAAAATTGTAGAAAAAATTTGAAACTTACATAAGTGTGATCATTCAAATTTCATCTTTAATTTAAGACCAAAAGAGTTTAAAAATCTTATTCGGTTTGTGAGATATCATTATAAACGTCCAAGCATGTTTTTTGACAAATGCATTGAATTAGTCGATTTTGAACGGTTTTTGGCAGAAAATGCTCGTCCGTTTATAATGATATCTCGCTAACCGATTAAGATTTTTGAATTCTTTTGGTCTTAAATTAAAGATGAGACTTGAATGATCACACCTATATAAGTTTCATATTTTTTCTACAATTTTTAAAAAATGTGCAGGGGTTGAAAAAATTTCCAAAAAATTGTACTTTTAAAATTTTTTTGTCAAATTTGTTGATTGCTGCAATCTTTGTATAAATTATTAAAATTTTCAGTTATATATCATTAATCGTAGAATTTAATAATCTTTCGAATGGTATATTTGTTAATTTTTTGACATTTGTATTTCCAAAAAAATCGTGATTTTAAGATTGGTATGTTTTTGGGCCGTGCGCGTGCAGCCGTACCGATAATTTCCGACGGTAGTGTATCACTCTCGTTGAAAATTTAATATTTAAAGATCCACAAGTTCTAAACTCATGATTGTTTGTCAATTTGTGTTAAAAAATTGTCTATACCGATACAACAATTTTCAAAAATTTGTTATTGTAACAAACGAAAACAAAATTCAGTTTAACAGCTCTAGCTACACTCATGAAATGACATTATTAAAGAATTATATTCTAACAATTATGGAAATATTCTGACGTGTTAACAATAAAAAATTTTTATTTTTATAACACATGATAAAATATTGTTACAATAAAATTTGAAATCGAAGAAGATATAAATACTTTATTTATTTAAAGCATTCAAACTGTTAGAGAAAAATTTAATGTGAAAATTTTAGGACTTTTATCTCCCGATGGGATAACAAAATCATTTGACAATAAAGCTAATGGTTATACACGTAGCGAAGGACTCGTTGTACTCTTTCTTCAAAAGGCACGAAACGCTAAAAGAATTTACGCAGAAGTCAAAAGTGTAAGCAACATTTTTGGAAATGTCAACGATAATTATTCATTTTTCTTCCCATCACACGATTTCCAATCGAAAAATATGAAAATGACATTAAAAGAATCAGGTATTAAGGGAAAGGATATTTCATATGTAGAAGCTGACGGTTCAGGTATTAAAGACATTGATGCCGAAGAAGTGAAAGCAATTGATGAGGTTTACAATGAGGGGAGAAATTCGCCTCTTTTAATTGGATCCATCAAATCTAACATTGGATCCTGTTCGTCCGTAAATCCACTTAATGGAATTATTAAGGTTTTTACATTTACTCATATAATTGCAAACCATTTATCAAATCAAATTAATATAATTTTAAATTATTTATTAATTTCTTAAAGGTTTATAACTTTAAAGTCCCTGGCTATTATCCTAAAATTTATACTAGCATTAATAAATTAAGACATCTTTATTCAAAGGAAGATCTATCTTATTTTTTGTAGGTTATCACGGCAATGGAAAAAAGATACATTCCGCCAAACTTAAATTTTAAAGAACCGTCTGACAAAATTCCTGCATTTAAAGAAGGTCGCTGTAAAGTAGTAACAGAACTAACTCCTTGGACCGGAGACTACGCAGTCGTTAATAGTTTAGGATTAACTGGTGCCACATCTAATGTGGTATTAAAAAAATTTAAAAAAGATAAAAAGAACGGAGGAAAACCAGACGATAAGCTGTCGCGATTAGTAATAGTCTCTGGATGTACAGAAGATGCTGTTGACGTTCTATTGAGCGAAGTTAGTAATTGTAATCACAATTTTTATTTTGATTATAAATTTGAATACAAATGCAAACCTCTTCAGCGCAAATAGGAAAATTCCGAAAGAATATTAACAGGTTAATAATTAACTTTCACAGTTGGAAAAACGACCTACGGATGTAGAAATGCTTCAGCTTCTGTACGATGTATTTGAAACTGAAATACCAGCTCATTTATATCGAGGTTACACATTACTTCCTCCTGACGGATTAGTAAAAGATAAAATACGAGGCATTCAATTTAATTCCGGATTCAAGAGGGAAATTTGGTACATGTTTTCTGGCATGGGCTCGCAATGGGTTGGAATGGGTAAGTAATGCTCTACAGCTACTAAAACATTTTCGACTTTAGGGGATAGAATTATTTCATATCCTATCCCCCATTAGAGGATTGATCATTTATATTTTCGGAATAAAGGAAAAAAAGTATAAAAACATATAAAAAAACACTAAACAAAATGACACTTTAAATTTCATTTAACAGGAGAAGCTTTATTGGAAATATCTGTATTCGCGGAAGCTATAAAAAAATGCGATCGTGTCTTAAAACCGAGAGGTATCGATATTGTGCGCATCATTACAGAAAAAGATCCACAAATGTTTGACAACATTATCAACGCATTTGTTGGAATTGCTGCGATTCAGGCAAGTAATGAATCTATAAAATATCTTTATAAGAAAAAGATACTAGTAATTACCAAAAAAACTAATAATAATTAATAATTTTAATTTTAGACATAATACTGATCAATACTTTTATTTCAGATTGGTTTGGTAGATGTCTTAGACTCAGTGGGACTGAAACCAGATTTCATAATTGGACATTCAGTTGGAGAATTAGGATGTGCTTACGCTGATGGATGTTTTACAGCAGAACAGATGGTTCTTGCTGCATTAAGCAGAGGATTGACATCAGTAGAAACAGAATTGCCAAGAGGTTCTATGGCAGCAGTTGGTCTAGGCTATGAAGAAATCAAAAATCTCTGTCCACCTGATATTGATGTAGCATGCCACAACAGTTCAAGCAGTTCCACTATCAGTGGTCCTGAAAAATCTATGAAAGCCTTCGTAAAACAATTACAAGTTAGACCAATTTAAATCCTCAATTTTATCTTAAAGCAAAACAATTAAGAAATCATAAAAAATTAAATATTTTTTTAAGGAGAAGAACATTTTTGCTAAAGAAGTAGCATGCGGTAACATTGCCTACCACAGTCGGTACATTGCTCCAGCGGGTGAAAAATTAAGAAAATACCTTCAGGAGATAGTTCCTAATCCCAAACCTAGAAGTAATCGATGGGTGAGCAGTTCAGTTCCACGTGATGAATGGAATTCATCAAAAGCTCATCTATCATCTGCAGAATATCACACAAACAACCTTTTAAATTCTGTTCTGTTTGCTGAAACTGCAAAGTCTATTTCACCGAATGCAGTTGTTATCGAAATAGCCCCGCAGGGTCTTCTACAAGCGATCGTCAAGAAATCATTACCAGAAAATGTGCTCAATGTTCCATTAACTAAACGAGATCATCCAGAAAATCAATTATTTCTTATTGCGGCATTAGGAAAAATTTATAACGCTGGCAGAAATATCAAAGTTTCGAATCTGTATCCTAAGGTAAAATATCCAGTATCAGGAGGAACAGGATCAATTTCCTCAATAATTCGATGGAACCATTCAGCTAATTGGTAAGAAAAATAAAAACTTTTTGTGGAATCCCTAAATATATTAACATATATTTTATGTTAATTTAACAATCATATACAATATTAACTGGTTTAAGAAACAAAATGTTGTATTTAAAAGAATCTTTTAAGTTAAGTTATAAAAAAGGTTTTCCAACACTAACAAACTTGAAATATATATTTATGAAAAAATTACACCCTGAACTGCAGGTTCACTAACTTTTTCCAACAATCAGATGAAATTAAGGCAGGAGAAATAAATTTCATAATTAACTTGAAAGAAGATAGGTGGAAATATTTGGCACATGCTAAAATTGGTGACAAGGTAATAATTCCCTCTTCTCTGTACTTAACACTTGCATGGGAAGTTCTAAATTCCCTAAAAAATAAATCTGAAGAATATGTAATATACAAAACTATCAAAGTTTATAAGCACCTAGTAGAAATTCCAAAAGATCAAAATATCGAAATAGTCACAATGGTTCAAAAAGGTACTTAATAAATACTTCACTATAAAAAATTAGCATTTACGTTTACTACACGTAAACTACTACACTTTTTAGGTTCCGGTAACTTTGAAATCACAAATAATGAAGAATTACTTTGCTCTGGAATTATACAAACTACCAATAATCTCAATCAGGAATACAGTTTGGTTTCTAAAAAGACTGATAAAGACGATCAAGATCTAAGTCAAAGTGAAATTTACACAGAATTGCATATGAGAGGTTTTGAATATTCAGGTCCGTTTAAAACTATTCGAAAATCATCAGTCAATGGTTGCAATGGGGTTTTGGAATGGCAAAACAATTGGACAACATTTTTAGAAGGAATGATTCAAATGAATATTCTTGGAAATGACACTAGAAATGCACAAGTGCCAATCACAATAAGAAAAGTTATTATTAACTTAAAATTACAAACAGAAGCGAGCAACATGTCAAAAGGTAAACACGAATTCACATTATTAATATTAATCCTTATCGTGTAATTAATAAATATTATAGGAAATAATAATTATTCTACCGAATAATTTCAGAAATTCCAGTCACAGTGTTTAGAGCACTAGAAACTGTAATTGCGGGTGGTGTACAAATGGAAGGAATTGCACATGAGTTGATTCTACATGAAACTCGGAAAAATAATGTTATAACAGAGAATCTTCAGATTAGCTCCCACATGGATATTGATTTAAAAAGAAATATTCTCCTACCAGGTAAAATTTCGAGAACATACATGCACACTCCAATTGTCTCCAATGTTTGTCTAGCGGAGAACTGGATTGCTGCACAAATGAACAGCTCTGATTTGGAGTCAATCAAGTGGGTTGAAGGATTTGCTAAGAGATCTGAAGACGCAATTAAAGTCGAATACTCTTCAGTTAATCAAAGTGACATTCTGTCAGCAAGTACAAAAACGTCATCAGAAGACATTAGAAATAATAGACTTGAAATAAAATCATTTGGACAAGAATATTCTGGAATTAATGCACAAGGAAAAAGAGTAATGGGAATTGTTGAAAATGCTGCACTTTCAAATTACATAGCAAGCAATATTGATTTCACATGGAAATTACCAGAAAATTGGTCATTAGAAGATGCTGCAACTGTACCTTTAGCATATGCTACTGCATATTTGGCATTGATAAAAGGGGAATTAAAAAACAACGAATCAATTTTCATCTACGATGGCACTTGTTCCATTGGACAAGCTGCCATTAATTTAGTATCAAACGTCACATCTCAAGTATTCGCTGGATATACTACTAATAACGACAAAAAAAATCTAAAAGACAGCTTTTCAAATATTCCTGAAAATCATCTTATTAGTACATCAGGTACATTTCCCGATCAAATCCTCGCAAAAACGAATGGAAATGGAGTGAATGTTGTTATATATAATGGAGACGATTCAAGTAAAATAGAAACCTGTCTAATGTGCGCTAAAAATCAAGGAAAAATCATAATTCTAGGAAATTTACGACAAGCATTCAGTAAATCAGTGGGAATGCAAATATTTTTAAGAGAATTTGTTATATTCTCTATAGTTACAAAGAAAATAATTAATCTTGATTTAGCAACGAAAAAGAAATTATCACAATTAATTGAGAACGGATTATTAAACCGAACTGTTAAACCGCTACCCAGATGTGTCTACTCAAGGGATCTGCTGAAGGATGCATTTATTCACGGAGCTTCTAAAAAAGTTTTTGGAAAAGTAATATACTTTTTTGGATTTTAAATGTCAATTTCAACAAATAATGTTTTATTACAATTTATTTCATTACAGATCCTTGTTAAGATACAGCCAGAAGATGGAAGTAATAGAGCTCCTTCAATACATCGTTTCTTGTGCAAAAGCGAAGCCTCCTACTTGATAATTGAAGGATTAAGTGACTTTGGACTGGAACTAGTAGACTTCCTTGTGGTTAGAGGTGCTAAAAGTATCGTCATAGCTTCCGAATCAAAAAATACCAGATCTTTTAGTAACCACCGGATAAGTTTGTGGAGAAGTTACGGAGTTGTAGTTACAGTTCGAGAAGAACTGGATCTTACACATCGTGAGAATGGAAATGCTCTTCTTGAGGAAGTTGGTACATTTGGCACAGTGGATGCAATTTTCGATCTTCAGCGCCTTGACAATTCATCAAGAAGGTCTTCTAATGCAAAATATTTGTTCACCAAACACCTCTTTGAAGAATCTAGGCAAATGTGTCCTAACCTACGCCACTTTATTATCTTTTCAACAAGCAAAGTTATCGGAGAAACTGTTGATGACCTTTTATTACGTGAAGTGGAATTGACAAAAATTTGTCAACCAAACTCAAAAGGAGTAACAGGACTTTTGATTCTCTTGGAACCCGTTTCTGGAATTGCGAAAAAAACAACTGAATACCAGAGAAGTGTACCACTTTTGTCTATTTATAGTATTATTAAACAATTGGATATAGTAACTGGATCAAATACCTCTATTGCATCTGTTTATCATAAATCAGAAGATGATACCGAAAAGGTAAAAACAGTCATTTTAGAAAAAATTGCTTTTAATTTCAAATGAAACATTTTTTTATTAATGGATTCAATTTTTAGGTACCAAAACATTTCCACGACGTTAAAGAAACAGAGAAATCAAAATTTGTTAAATATATTAATTCAGCACAATCTTTAACCACATTTTCTAGGTTTCAAATTACAGACGAAAATTAATGCTTAAATTAATATAATTTCTTTAAAGGATTAGTTGAGGAATATAAATAATTGCTTAGTACATACGACGTCTACTAATAACCGTAAAGTATTTTTTATAATTTTATAATTTTTTGTAAAGAAAATATTGATTCTATGAAATAGAGCGATATTTACAATCCAAATTGAATCCTCTTCCTGTAGTCAATATGCACTTTAGAAATTCAAATTTTCTGTTATTAAAAATGTTTCACTAACTATGGATTTATACTTTGATCTAAAAACATTGTAAATTTTTCATATCAATAATTAAATGTAATGGAAATTTCATTCAAGTGTTGCTGATTAAGTAATACGTGTAAATTTATGAACGATTATTTTCACATTAAAATCGAATTAAAAAAATTCTATTAGTAATATATTATTCATATCGCATATGCACTTGAATAAAGTCATAGATAATAAAGGTTTTTGTGCAGAATTTAAATTATTGACTTTCAAAAAAGTGTATAAAAACATTTTAAGTAAAATTCTAGATAATTTCTTTTTATTAAAGTCGTAATAAAATACAGAAAAAAATTAATTCAAAGATGATGGGAGATGAAGTAGTGATATCGGGAATTTCAGGAAAATTTCCGAACTATGACAATATTAAGGAATTGCAAAATAATCTTTTAAATAAAATAGATTGTATTTATAATACAAAAAACTATTAAAAAATGTATTTTAAATTTTAAACCTTAGAAATAAACTTTATTAAAGTATGAGAATTGAAAATGTTTGTTCTAAGATGTAAATAGTCTATAAAGCAACTAATGTTCAATGACAGCCATTTGTTTTCGTGGGCGTTTGCAGACCAAGAAGTAAATCAGTACTAGCAAACGACAAGGTAAACAATTTGGCTGCTTTGGTCTCGTGTTACTAATTGCACTTTTTATTTCAAAGAAACGAAGGTAATGGTTTTAGATTGCAGTAGACGTCAGGGAATAAAACGCAATCATTTACCTACAATTTTTTGCACAGAAAATATTGATTCTATGCAATAAAGAGATATTTATAATCCAAGTTGAACTCTCTTCCTGTAGACTATAACTACTTTAGAAATTCAAATTTTCTGTTATTAACAATGTTTCACGAACTATGTATTTAAATTTTGATCTAGAAACATTGTAAATTTTCCAAAGTAGTAATGACATACATAAAAATTTCCACTTCTGTCAAGATGCACTTATGAAAATGATTAATTTCATAAACGAGTATTACCTCTTCGACAACGAATAGAAGAAGACGTTTTATTATTGGAAATATATCATTTATATCACATCTAAACTTAAATAAAGTTAAAAGAAATAAAGTTTTGTGCTGAATATAAAATATTATTTTCTCTGAAAAAAGAATTAAAATAATTTGAGGAAAATTTAAAATATATTTTTTCTACTCAAATTTGAATATAAAGAAAAAGAATGGAACCAAAATTAACAGGAGATGAAGTAGTAATATCCGGAATAGCAGGGAAATTTCCAAACAGTGCAAATGTTAATGAATTACAAGAACATCTTTTAAATAAAATAGATTGTGTTACTGATAGTAAAGACCGATGGAATTTCGGTATGAATTCTTTCAATAATACAATATAAAAATTATTTTTAAAAATGTATTTAAAATTTTAAAAACAAACAATACACTTTTGTTAAAGTATCTAGAAATGGAAATTATTGTTTTAAAACGAAAAAATAATTTTAATTAAATAGAACACCCACAAGTGCCGCCGCGAATCGGCATTATGAAGGATATTGACAAATTTGATCGTAACTTTTTTGGAGTTCATGGAAAATTGACAGAATGTATGGATCCAATGCTAAGAATGATGATAGAAACAACATATGAAGCAATAACGGATGCTGGAATTAATCCAAGAGAATTAAGAGGGAGTAAATCAGCAGTTTTTACCGCAAGCACTTTTTCAGAGTCGGAAAAATCGTTCTTCTACGAAAAAACGCAGGTTCTATTTTTGTAGTATTTCTAACATATCTACGTTTTTGCTTAAGACTAATAGATATTCTAATTTCATAAAAAGAATTTTTTGAAGTAAAATAAATTGTTAATAATTCAGTTTCTTAGACATTTCAAATTGTTCAGAGGAATGATGGTTTTTTTATATTTTTAGGCAAATGGTATTGGTTTATTGGGAGCAAGTAGGGCAATGTTGTCAAATCGACTTTCGTTTTTTCTTGGTTTCACTGGACCAAGTATTAACATTGATGCTAGTTGTTGCGGAGGAATAACTGTTTTAGAGGAGGCTTTTAAAGCGATTAAGGAGAAACGAGCAGAAAGCGCAATTATTGGTTGCAGTAATGTTGTCTTACATCCAAACATGTCTCTACAGTTCCGCCTGTTAGGTAACAATCTGTTTTTGCAATTATAGTTATTTATAACGCAATCAAAACTTTGAAAAGCTCCCTTAACATTTTACTCTTCAGGCATAAGAAAAGTTTGAACAAATGAATTAAATTGAAATCAACGCAACACTAAATTTTAAATCCTTGTTAAATCTTTAGGTCTCTTATCACCAGACGGTATAACAAAATCATTCGATAATGCAGCAGATGGCTACACTCGTAGCGAAGCAATCGTTATATTTTTTCTACAAAGGGCGCGTGACGCTAAACGAATTTACGCTGAAGTAAAAAGTGCACGCATGTCAATTGGAAATGTTAACGATAACTTTTCATTTTTCTTTCCAACACACGATTTTCAATCGAATATTATGAAAGAGACATTAAAAGAAGCAGGTATTAAGGGAAAGGATATTTCATATGTAGAAGCAGACGGTTCAGGTATAAAGGAAATCGATGCGGAGGAAGTAAAGGCAATCGACGAGGTTTACAATGAGGGACGAAATTCACCTCTTTTGATTGGATCTATCAAATCTAATGTTGGATCCTGTTCGTCTACAAGTCCACTTAATGGAATTATTAAGGTTTTTACATGCACTCAAATAATATTAAACTAATAAATACAAAACATTACCACTAACATTGTCTTAGGTTATCACTGCCATGGAAAAGGGATGCATTCCGCCAAACTTAAATTTTAAAGAATCGTCTGACAAAATTCCTGCCTTTAAAGAAGGTCGCTGTAAAGTAGTAACAGAACTAACTCCTTGGACCGGAGACTATGCAGTCGTTAATAGTTTAGCATTAACCGGTGCCAGTGCTAATGTTGTATTAAAAAGATACAAGAAAGATAAAAAGAACGGAGGTAAACCAGACGATAAGCTTCCGCGATTAGTAACAGTCTCTGGATGTACAGAAGAAGCTGTTGACGTTCTATTGACCGAAGTTAGTAATTGGAATAACAATTTTGTTCTTGATTATAAATTTTTACTATGAACCGAAAGTTTATGATTCTAAATTACAAATAAGCACTTCTTAGTAGCCAGTAGTGATATTTTAAAACAGTATATGTAGACAACTTATTGAATTTCACAGTTGGAAAGTAAACAACTCGATGTAGAAATGATTCAACTCATGTATGATATATTCGAATGTGAAACGCCAGCTCACTTATATCGAGGTTATACAATACTTCCCCCTGAAGAATTGGTAAAAGATAAAACACGAGATATTCAGTTTAATACCGGTCTTCAAAGGAAAATTTGGTACATGTTTTCTGGCATGGGTTCACAATGGGTAGGAATGGGTAAGTTTTGTCCAGAAGATAAAAGAATACTTTCGATTTTAAGGATTTATTTATTTTACAAAATACTTTGACAGGGGAGGCTTTATTGCAAATACCAGTTTTCAAAAAAGCTATAATGAAATGCGACCGTGCCTTAAAACCGAGAGGCATCGATATTTTACGCATCATTACAGACAAGAATCCACAAATGTTTGACAACATTGTCAACTCATTTGTTGGCATTGCTGCTATACAGGTAAGTAATACTATCAGTACTTCGGCAGTAAAGTGGTTAAAAATCTCAAAACTGAGAAAATATTTAAGTAAACATGGTTTAGAAATAATAAACTATAGAAACAACTAATAATTTATTTTAGATTGGTCTAGTAGATGTCTTAGACTCAGTGGGTGTGAAACCAGATTTCTTAATTGGGCATTCAGTGGGAGAGTTAGGATGTGCTTATGCTGATGGGTGTTTTACAGCAGAACAAATGGTCCTTGCTGCATTAAGCAGAGGATTAGCATCAGTAGAAACAGAAATGCCAAGAGGTTCTATGGCAGCAGTTGGTCTTGGTTATGAAGAAATAAAGAATCTCTGTCCACCTGATATTGATGTAGCTTGTCATAATAGTGCAGGCAGTACCACTATAAGTGGTCCTGTAGATTCTATGAAAATCTTCGTAAAACAATTACAAGTTAGATAAATTTAAATTCTGAGCCCCACTTGATCAACTTCCCGATAACTGTCTGATAAATTTATCGCATATAATTTCTTGTAGCTATCTAATAGTTAAGGTTAATTAAGACTTGGATCAATTGGGGCTAAATTAAATATTTTTAATTGAAACATTATTTCCAAAATCATAATGATATTGAATACTTTTTTAAGGAAAAGAATCTTTTTGCCAAAGAAGTGGCATGCAGTAACATAGCCTATCACAGTCGGTACATTGCTCCAGCTGGCGAAAAATTAAAAAAATACCTACAAGAAGTAATTCCTAATCCTAAACCGAGGAGTGATCGTTGGATAAGCAGTTCAGTACCCTATGATGAATGGAAATCAGCTAGGGCACGACTGTCATCCGCTGAATATCATACAAACAACCTACTAAACCCTGTCTTGTTTGCTGAAACTGCAAAGTTCATTCCATCACACGCTACCGTTATCGAAATAGCTCCCCATGGACTCCTACAAGCGATCGTCAGGAAATCATTACCAAAAAATGTTCTAAATATACCATTAACTCAAAGAGGTAATCATGATGGTGTATCTTTTCTGTTGGAAGGTATGGGAAAAATTTACAATACTGGCTACAATATCAAGATATCGAAACTTTATCCTAAAGTCAATTATCCTGTATCACGAGGAACTCCGTCAATTTCATCATTAATTCGATGGGATCATTCCATTAAATGGTAAGAATAAAAGTTTATCCGCAACAGCTAACATAAATTGGCTCTTTATGTTAGACACAATAAACTATCCTTTGCAATTAATTCAGCAATTTAAAAATATGTGTAAGTGAAGCAGTTTAAAATTAAAATGAATTACTGTTTTCTTGCTCTGCAGGTACACAAATTTCTTCAAACTACCGAAAGAAATTAAAAATGGACAAGTAAAATTTACTATTAATTTGAATGACGAAAAGTGGAAGTATTTAGAACACATTAAAATTGATGGCAAGGTGTTAGTTCCCTCTTCTTTATATTTGATACTTGCAGGGGAAGTTCAAAAATGGTTAAAAAATGATTCAGAAACATCATTCGTTTACCACAAAGTAGAAATTCATAAACATCCAATAGTAATTCCAAAATATGAAGACTTTCTTCTTGTAGTTATGGTTCAAAAAGGTACTTCATACGATACTTGGAGGAATATATTCTATTATTGATTATTCTTAAAAAAACAAAAATTTGCTCAACTATCACTACAGAAGCAGTAAAATCGTATAATTAATTGTTGCATTTTTCAGGTTCTGGTTACTTCGAAATATCAAATAAGGAAGACTTGCTTTGTTCTGGAATTATACAAGCGACTGATAACCATGATCAGGAATGCAGTCTGATTCCTAAAAAGGATTATACAGAATATGAAAATCTAAATGAAAGTGACATTTACACAGAATTGCAGATGCGAGGTTTGGAATACTCAGGTCCGTTTAGAATTATTCAAAAATCATCAAGCAATGGAGGAAATGGGATTTTAGAATGGAGAGATGACTGGATAACATTTTTAGAAGGAATGATTCAAATGCATATCCTTGGAACTGACACCAGAAATACGCAAGTGCCAATCGCAATTAGGAAAATTACTATTAATTTAAAATTGCACACAGAAACGAGCAACATTTCCAAAGGTGAACATGGCTTCATAATTTTAATATACATATATTACGCAATTCATTAATATTATGGGATATACAAATTATTCTATTGTACATTTTCAGAAATTCCTGTCTCAATGTATAGGGGATTGGATACTATCAATGCCGGTGGTGTTCAAATGGAAGGAGTCATTTTAAAAACTATTTCTAATGAGTTTCGGAAAAACAATATTATTACTGAACAAATTTTACCTGGAACAATTACAGGAACATATAAACGCTTTCAAATTTCTAGTAATCTGAAATCTACAAATGAGGACAGTATTGCCTGGGTCGAGCAACCCTCTAAAGAATCTGCCAACACAATCAAAATCGAATACTCTGCAATTAATAATAAAGATATTCTATTAGCCAATACTAAAATATCATTAGAAAACACTGGAAGAAATAGACTCAAAATGAAGTCGTTTGGTCAAGAATATTCTGGAATTAATTCACAAGGATACAGAGTAATGGGAATTGCTCCAAATGTTGCACTTTCAAATTATCTAACACCCGATAATGATTTCACATGGAGAATACCTGATAATTGGTCCTCGGAAGATGCTGCGACTGTACCTCTAGCATATGCAACTGCTTATTTATCATTGATGATATTGGGAAAAATAAAAGCAGATAAATCAGTTTTTGTCTATAATGGATCTTGTTCCATTGGACAAGCTGCAATTAATATAGCAATAAACATTACATCACAAGTATTTATCGGTTATGCTAATGATATTGATAAAAAGAACTTAAGAAGCAGATTTGAAAATATTCCCAAAAATCACTTTATAAGTACATCAGGAAATTTTACTGATCTAATTTTTACGCAAATGAAGAAAAAAGCAGCAGACATAATAATATATAATGCAGAGGATTTAAACAAAATAGAAGAATGTACGTTGTGCGTGAGAACTGAAACGCAAATTATTATTGTAGGAAAATTTCAAAAATCATTTAGTAAAACAATTGGAATGCAATTTTTTAACCAAGCAGTTGGTCTATCCTCAGTAATTCCTAGTAACGTAATCAACCTTGATAAAGACACGAAAAAAATATTATCGCATATGATCGAAACTGGAATATCGAAGAAAATCGTCAAACCATTACCTAGATGTGTTTACTCAAGAGACAAGCTCAACGATGCTTTTATTCACGGATCTTCAAAGAATGTTTATGGAAAAGTAATGTTTTTGCCACTTGAACGAAATTTTAAATTTAGCACTTAATATTCTATTACAATTTGTTTCTTTACAGGTCCTTATCAAAGTACAGACAGAAGAAGGAAAAAATAAGGCCCTAACAATACCTCGTTTCTTGTGCAAAAGTGAAGCCTCCTACTTGATAATTGAAGGATTAAGTGACTTTGGACTTGAATTAGTTGACTTCTTAATTGTTAGAGGTGCTAGAAATATTGTTATAGCTTCCAAATCAAAAAATACAAGAGCTTTCAGCCATCACCGGATAAGTTTGTGGAGAGGTTACGGAGTTTCAGTCACAGTTCAAGAAGAACTGGATCTTACACGTCGTGAAAATGTAAATTCTCTCCTTGACAAAGTTGGCACAGTTAATGGAATTTTCGATCTTCAGCGTCTTGAAAATTCATCAACAAGGTCACGCAACTTGAACTACTTGTGCACTAAACATCTCTTTGAAGAATCTAAACGACTATGTCCTAATATAAGACATTTTGTTGTTGTTTCAACATGCAACGATATTGGGGAAAACATTCACGACCTTTTGTTACAAGAAATTGATTTAACAAAAATTGTTCAACCAAAATCAAAAGGGATCAATGGACTTTTGATTCTTCTTGGACCAGTATCAGGAATTGCAAAAGAAACCAATAACAAGAGTAATGTACGTCTATTGTCTATTCCTAGCATTATTGAACAAATGGAAATAGTTATGGGATCAAAAGCGTCTATTGCTTCTATCTCTTATAAGCCATTGGAAGACAAATCAAAAAAGGTGAGAACACTTTATTCAAAAATCATACAAAACCTTTTTTTATAACTTGGTTATTACTTCTGCACTATGAAACGCAACTTTTATATATATTTTGACTATTAATGTTATTAAATATTATTATAAAATTTAAAATTGTTTTAGATGAAAGAAGAATTCCAAATTTTAACGGAAACAGAGAAGTCAAAGTTTGACAAATATATTAATGCCATTCAACCATTAACAAACTCCTCTTGGTTCCACATTTTAAAGGACAAACAATCATTTTTATAAATTCTGATTCCATGATATGAAAATCAATACTAAAACTGTTACATAAATTATAAGTTAATAAAACAAATTTCTTTTAGATTTGACTAATAACTATTATAATACCGTCTGTCAAAAAGTAGTTAAAAAATCTCAAATATAGTTCTTGTAATAAACTTTTTTAATTGTTCTTGGAATTTAACTACTTTCCTTAGCTAACTGAACTGAAAATTTTTAACTTATAAGAAATAGTAAAATTTATCATATAAAAGTATTTACTTATTATTTACTTTTATACTCACTCTAAAGTTCTTGTTGCTGTTACTATTCCACGCTGACAGTACTATCTTCTGGCACTATCTTAAAATCAAGGAAGAGTAATTTTTAAAAACAATTCTGAGGATATCAGGGTTTTAGATTTTGCTAACATAAATTGTTTAAATAATGAATGTCTAAAAAATAACAATAAATATGAAGTGGAACATTGATACTTGAATTTTCTTCTTCACATAATACAGAAAAAAAATTACTTTTCAAAATTCTCTTTTTTCTATTTTTATAAACAAGGTAAAACATAACAATCATATTTTGTTTATGCAAAATTGCAGAATTATTTCCAGCTACTTAACATTCTAAACATTTATTATCAGTGGATATACGACTTCAAAATGGTAATTTTTTATTTTCGTAAAAATTTGTAAAACAAATAAGTAGTCCATAAACTACATAGCATTTCAAGGTAGAGGAGAATGGGTCAAGATATTTCCTATGATCAGCAAAAAAACTGGCGCCAATAAATATGTAACAGTGTGCTACATAGGAAGGGGTGGGGTGTTAAATTTAAAAATAAAGCAGCTACGTAGTTTATAAAAGACCACAAATCCCCAATCAAGAATATTAAAAGAAATTCATTTTAAATATATCATTTTCATCAAACAGACCAGAATAAAAAAATTATTTTTCCGTTCAATTAAAATAGTAGTTCACTCTTAAACAAAGTTCTCAATAGTTAATTCAATATCGAGAAAAATAGAAATTCTAATAGCATTATCAAGAGGAGAAATAAATAAGAAATGGAACCAAAAATGACGGGAGATGAAATTGTGATATCTGGCATAGCTGGAAGATTTCCGAACAGTGATAACATCAAAGAATTGCAGAAGAAGCTTTTGAATAAAATAGACTTTATTGATGAAAGAAATGATCGTTGGCAGAATAGTATAAATTAAATTTTATTTATCAAGTTAAAATAAGGAAACAAAATTTTTTAAAATTATAAAACAATTTTACAGAAAATCTCAATATTCCGAAGCGGATAGGGACATTAAATAATATTGACAGTTTAGATTGTACATTTTTTGGTATTCATGGAAAAATGGAGGATTGTATGGATCCAATGTTAAAAATATTAATAGAAATAACATATGAGGCTATTATTGATGCTGGAATTAATCCAAAGAATTTTCGAGGAAGTAAAACGTCAGTTTTTACTGGGAGCATGACGTCAGAGTCAGAGAGATCAGTTTTTTCGAAAAAATTTTGGGTAAAATTTATATTTTTTCATAGAAGGATTATATTTTTAAATAAAAGAACGATTCAGCATGCATAGAATATTCAGCTTAAATATTTTACAGCGAAATAAGTACAGTTTATTTGGAGTTAGTCGTGCCATGTTATCAAATCGACTTTCATTTCAATTTGATCTTACTGGACCAAGTATTAGTATTGACTCGGACACTTGTGACGGTGCTAGTGCATTACACGAAGGTTATATGGCAATTAAAGATGGACGAGCCGAAAATGCAATAATTGCAGCTAGTAACGTGATACTATATCCAGAAACATCTCTACACTTAATTTTATCAAGTATGTGATTGATTCAAATTTACCAAATCCGATAGTTAATAAAGATAAAATATTTATAACTTTAGGTGATTTTTAGGACTCCTATCGCCCGATGGAAAAACAAAATCTTTCGACAATTCAGCTGACGGTGTTGCCCGCAGTGAATCAACAGTTGTTTTATTGCTTCAAAAAACTTGCAATGCAAAGCGTATTTATGCTGAAGTAAAAAGTATAAGTACTTCTTTTGGAAATGTGACAAACGATGAATTACATTTTTATCCTGATCATAATTTTCAAGCACATCTGATGAGAAAAACTTTAAAAGAATGTGGTATTCTTGGTAAAGATATATCATTTGTTGAAGCTACAGGTTTAGGGTTGAAGAATATCGATGCTGAAGAAGTAAAAGCAATAGATAATGTTTACAATGAGGGGCGAGAAACGACTCTTTTAATTGGATCTGTCAAATCTAATCTTGGATATTGTTCAGCATCAAACCCACTTAACGGAGTTATTAAGGTTTTTAAATTTAGACAGCCTAATTTTGTTTACGTCAATTTTATAAGAAATTTTGTAATAAACATTACATTATTAAATAGCATTGATAAATATTTACACTGATTTACAAGTACTAAGTACCATACAACTATTAGTAGTTGCAAGTCATACCAAATCAATGAGTTTTTAATTAGGTTATCACAGCAATGGAATCGGGTTACATACCACCAAATCTTCATTTTAACGAACCATCTGACAAAATTCCTGCACTTAACCAAAACCGATGCCAAGTTTTAACGAAATTAACTCCCTGGACTGGTGACTTCGCAGTCGTTAATGCTCTATCACTTGAAGGACCCAGTGGAAATATTATATTAAAAAGTTTCAAAAAGGAAAAGAAGAATGAAGGAAAACCAGACGACAATCTTCCAAGATTAATTATAGGTTCTGGACGTACAGAAGATTCTGTTAATTTTCTCCTAAGCGAGGTGTTTACTTATTTTTAGTGTTTTTTCATATCGTGAAATATTATTATTCTTCAGATGTAAAAATCGTGAGTTTTACAGTTAGAAAGTCAAACAGCCGACGTAGAAATGATTCAGCTTTTATACGATGTATTTGAGACGGACGTAACAGCACATTTATATCGAGGATATACAGTACTTCCTCCTCAAGGATTGGTAGAAAATAAAGCACGAGAGATTCAATTTAATACTGGAATGCAGAGGGAAATTTGGTACATGTTTTCCGGCATGGGATCACAATGGGTTGGAATGGGTAATTAGTGTCATAACATGAGAAGATTTTCCGTATTTAGGAGTACATAAAATTCTTTTCATTTGCTGAATAAAACAAGGAAAACAATTTTAAAAAAATTATTAATTTTAAAACCTGATTTAACAGGAGAAGCTCTTATGAAAATTCCCGTTTTTGCAAAAGCAATAAAAAAATGCGACCGTGTCTTAAAACCAAGAGGAATAGATATTGTGGGCATCATTACAGAAAAGAATTCAAACATGTTTGAAAACATAGTCAATTCATTTGTAGGAATTGCTGCTATTCAGGCAAGTAAAAACACTATATAAGTGAAGCTTGTGAGAACAATTTATAATTTTATAAAAATAAATAATAGAATTTTTAGTGTATTAATATAATAAGTAAAAGTAATTATTGACACAAGAATTGGATCTTAGCAGTTCATTTTTCTAATGTAAAAATTTGTTATTGTCAAAAGAATAACTATCTATACATCAATTTCAGATTGGCCTGGTAGATGTCTTAGACTCAGTGGGACTAAAACCTGATTTTTTAATTGGACACTCAGTTGAGAATTAGGATGTGCTTACGCTGATGGGTGTTTTACAGCAGAGCAAATGGTTCTTTCTGCATTAAGCAGAGGATTAGCATCAGTGGAAACGGATTTGCTAAGAGGTTCTATGGCAGCAGTTGGTCTTGGTTATGAAGAAATCAAAAATCTCTGTCCACCTGACATTGATGTTGCTTATCACAATAGTGTAGGCAGTACCACTATCAGTGGTCCCGAAGAATCTATGAAATCATTCATAGCTCATTTAACAGTTAGTAACATTTACTTTCGAAATTAAAAATTTAATTAAGTTTAATTTCATTTGAATGTAACACAATACATCATTAACATTATTTAAATGAAAAGATTTTAAAAAGAAAAAAACTCTTTTCTAACTAATGCTAAATACATATTTTAGGAAAATAAAATTTTTGCTAAAGAGGTGGCTTGTAGTAATATTGCCTACCACAGCCGATATATTTCTCCAGCTGGCGAAAAATTAAAAAAATACCTACAAGAAATAATTCCGAATCCTAAACCTAGAAGTGATCGTTGGATAAGTAGTTCGGTGCCACGTAACGAATGGAAAACAGCTAGAGCACGACTGTCATCTGCAGCATATCATACGAACAACCTTCTAAATCCTGTCTTGTTCGCTGAAAGTACAAAGCTTATTCCATCAAATGCGATCGTTATTGAAATAGCCCCTCACGGACTACTTCAGGCGATCGTCAAGAAATCATTACCAAAAAATGTTCTGAATATACCCTTAACAAGAAGAGGTCATCTTGATGGTGTTTCTTTTCTGTTAGAAGGTATAGGAAAAACTTACAACACTGGCATGAATATTAAAGTGTCAAATCTTTATCCAAGAATCAGCTATCCTGTATCACGTGGAACGCCTTCAATTTCATCCCTAATTCAGTGGAATCACTCAGCAAAAGGGTAGCCCTAAATTGTTCTGAAAGTTAAAATTATTTATTGATATAAAGCTTGATAATAGTGCACACTAATAATTAATATTAATATTAAATGTAATTATTAAAAATAGGGTCACCAGTAAGGTTGAGGAAGTGAATAATGTAAAAAAAAGAGAGATAAAATTCAAAGTAGATTTAAAAAATACTGAGTGGAATTATTTAAAACACGCCAAGATTGAAAGCAAAATTGTGATTCCAACATCTCTCTATTTAAAACTAGTTCTTGATATTGTACAAAAATTTCAGGATAATACTGAATTCTCTATGATATACAAAAATGTGGAAGTTTATAAGCAACAAGTGGAGATTTCTGTTGATAATAATATTGAATTGGTAATAATGGTTCAAAAAGGTAGTCGATTTACTTGTTTTATTAAATCAAATTATTTGACTATTTGATTAATAAAATGAACTAAAAATAGACTTCTGTTTCCAGGCACTGGTTTCTTTGAAGTAACAAGTATGGAAACTTTATTATGCTCCGGAATAGTGAATATAAATGTCGACCCTAATCAGAATTCCATTAATGTTTATAAAGAGCACGAGACTATTGATAAATATGTAAACGAAAATCAAGTTTACAATGAATTACATAGAAGGGGTTTACAATATTCTGGCCCCTTCAGAACTATTCAAAAATCATCAATTGATGGTAATAGTGGATGTCTAGTTTGGAAAGATAATTGGACTACATTTTTAGATGGAATGATTCAAATGTATATCCTTGGAAGCAAAATGAGAACGGCAGAAGTTCTGATAAAGATTAGAAACATCTTTATTGACATTAAGCATCAAGAAGAAATTATTAACAAGTCAATGGGTGAGTTTCTGGAATAAAAATCATCTTAAAATAAAAACGAAAACAAAGTATTAATTATTGTAAACATTACAGAAATTCCAGTAACAATCCATAGACGTTTAGGGAATATTAGTGCAGGAGGGGTGCAAATGATAGGGGTCGTTCTTGAATCTATTCTCAATGAATCTGGGCGACAGAACATTGTAACCGAAGAAATTTTCCCTAGTTCAATTTTGGGAGAATTTGAATATATATCACTATCCTGTGATCTTCAAAAAGTGTCGAATTGGAAAGCAGGGCAGTTTAAATGTTTTGACTTAAATTCAATTTCATGGATTGAAGACTTCCCAACAAAAGATGTAAACAAAATCAAAGTAGAATACGCTACTATTAATCAAGGAGATATTTTGTCAGCAAAAACTAATAAATCATTAGAAGATCCTGTAAGTAATAAACTCGATATTAAATCTTTTGGGCAAGAATATTCTGGAATTAATTCACAAGGGAATAGAGTAATGGGAATTGTTAAAAATTCTGCACTATCAAATTACGTAACACCTGATGAAGACTTCACATGGAAAATACCTGAGGATTGGTCCTTGGAAGATGCTGTGAGTGTACCTTTAGCATATGCAAATGCATATTTAGCTTTGATGATAAAGGGACAACTTGAAGTTAATCAATCTGTTTTTGTCTATACTTGCGAGTGTTCCATTGGACAAGCCATAATTAATTTAGCATCCACTTTAACGTCACGAATATTTATTCGACATAATAATGATGACGACAAATTTAATATAAATTTAAATTTTCCTAATATTCCAGAAAGTAATTTTATAAGCCCATCTTTCAGTTTCGCAGATCAAATATTGAAAAAAACAGAAGGAAAAGGAGCGGACTTAGTAATATACAATGGAGACGATTTAAGCAAAATAGAAACTTTCTTGATGTCTGTGAAAAACAGTGGAAAAGTTGTTATAATAGGAAATATGAATGAAACACTTAATAGAACAGTAGGAATGCAAATTTTCCACATAGAAGTTTTTCTAACTGCAATCATTCCAAACCACGTTATATTTCTTGATAAAGAGAAGAAGAAAACATTATCACAAATGATTGAAAATGGAATATCATCGCAAATTATTAAACCATTACCTAGATGTGTTTACTCAAGGGACATGCTCAAAGACGCTTTCATTCATGGAGCTTCAAAAAAAATTTATGGAAAAGTAATATTTTTTGCCACTTGAACGAAATTTTAAATTCAACTCTTAATATTCTATTATAATTTATTTTATTACAGATGCTTGTCAAAGTACAACCAGAAGATGGAAAAATGTGGCTCTATCAATACCTCGCTTATTGTGCAAAAGCGAATCATCCTACTTGATAATTGATGGATTGAGTGACTTCGGCTTGGAACTAGTTGACTATTTAGTGATTAGAGGTGCCAGGAGTATTGTTATAACTTCCAAAACAAAAAATGTAGATGCATTCAGTAATCACCGAATAAGTTTGTTGAGAAGTTATGGAGTTTTAATTTCAATTCAAGAAGATCTGGATCTCACATGTCATGAAAATGTCATCCAATTCAAAATATTTGTTTACGAAAAATCTTTTTGAGGAATCTAAGCTAATATGTCCTAATTTACGCAAATTTATTGTCTTTTTGACAATGTAACCACAACAGAGAAAGTATTAACGACATTTTATTAAGAGAAATTAATTTAACAACAATTTTTCAACCAAAAGCAAAAGGCATCACTGGGCTTTTGATTCTTCTTGGGCCAGTTTTTGGAATTGCAAAAGAAACAATTGACAAGGAGAGAAATGCACCTCTATTGTCTATTCCTAACATTATTGAACAAATGGAAATAGTTATGGGATCAAAAGCGTTAATTGCTTCTATCTGCCATAAGCCATTAGAAGACAATTCAAAAGAGGTGAGAACAATTTATTCTAAAATATTACCAAACCTTTTTTAGAACTTACTTTTTCGTCACTTTTGCTTTATAAAACACCACCTTCATTAATTTCTTTCTTTCTATGTTATTAAATATTATTATATAATTTAAACTGTTTTAGGTAAAAGAAGTGTTCGAGGACTTTAAGGAAACAGAAAAGTATAAGTTTTATAAAAAAATTAATGCAGTTCAACCATTAACAAGCTTATCATGGTTTGAGATTTTAGAGGACAAATAAATATTTTTATAGAATGTAAAACTAAAATAAAAATAAATAAAACTACCTACACAAATCATTTATAATTATTAAATTATGTAAAGAAAGTTCCTTATTATTTTATAATTGTACTTTTTCTATTAACAAAAGTAGATTTATTAATGTAATTATTAATACTTTATTAATTATTTTATGCTTAATTAATTAATCATAATTATTAATAGGGTAATCTTAAACTATGTTTCATTCGATAATTATGAAAATAATTAACTAAATTAACCATGTTAAAGTGAGAGAAATAGATCAAATTCTTCTGTTTCTAATCAATATTAATAATAATTAAAAAATAAACCAAAAAAGCAATACTTGGAATCTTGCATAAATTACCGAAATTATAAATATTATAAATATTTTTATATTTATATCTAAAAAGTGCTATGTAAAAATTATGTTAATTTAAAATTATTAAATATAAAATATGTAAAAAAATACCAATAAATTATAACCATAAACTTTGATTTTCGAATTTTTAATTCTATATAGAATTCAAGATTAATTTACTTTAAATTATTTTTTTAATTTTATACCAAGGCAAAAATAAAACATTAATTTTTTTGGTTATGCAATAGTTTAAGAATCATTTTGTGTCTGCAGTGAATAATCGATGAAAAAATTTTAATTTCTTATTGTATGAAAAATTTTCTCAGTATTATATTTAAACTGATATCCAAGTATAATGTAAATTTAAAATTAATTTAAACACTAAATATTTTCGGTCTTCTTTTCAATATATTTGACCTCGACAAATATTGCACATAATTGAAAAACAAATAAACTCTAGCCGAGAATATAAAAAGGCTTTCAATCTAAATATATGGTTTATACCAAATGTAGATTGGAGTAAAGAAATATTTTCTTTGTTCAACTAATACTGTAATTCAATATTAAACAGAGTTGTCAATATTAAATTCAATAACGTGAAAAATAAAAATTCTAATAGCATTATCAAGAAGAGAAACAAATAAGAAATGGAACCAAAAATGACCGGAGATGAAATTGTGATATCTGGCATAGCTGGAAGATTTCCGAACAGTGATAACATCAAAGAATTGCAGAAGAAGCTTTTGAATAAAATAGATTGTATTGATGAAAGAAATGATCGTTGGGAGAATGGTACAAATAAAATTTTATTTTATAATAAATGCAAAGAAAAAAATTATTATTGATTATGAAACAATTTTACAGAATATCCTGATATTCCAAAGCGAATCGGGACATTAAATAATCTTGACAGTTTGGATAGTGTCTTTTTTGGTATTCATGGAAAAATGGAGGATTGTATGGATCCAATGTTAAAGATATTAATTGAAACAACATATGAAGCAATTACTGATGCTGGAATTAATCCAAGGAATTTAAGAGGAACAAAAACGGCTGTTTTCACTGGGAGCATGACTTCAGAGTCAGAGAAATCTGTCACCGGCAAGAAATTTTGGGTACTAAATATCACAATATATATTTGTTTGACGAATTTGGACATAAAAAACAATTAAAAACGAATAATTTATACTGTTTGAACATTTTTTAGAAAAATAAGTACAGTTTATATGGTATCAGTCGTGCTATGTTACCAAATCGACTTTCATTTTTGTACGATCTTACTGGACCAAGTATTAATATTGATGCTGACTCCTGTGGAGGTTCTAGTGCGTTACTCGAAGGCTTTATGGCAATTAAAGATGGAAGAGTTGAAAATGCTATTATTGGGGCCAGCAACGTTTTATTATATCCAGAAATATCTAAACAATTACTTTTCTTAGGTATGTAAGTAAATGAATAAAATTTATCCAAATTTGCTTATACACAAAGATGAAATATTCAAAATTTATGGAATTTTTAGAACTCTTGTCGCCCGATGGAAAAAACAAATCATTTGACAATTCAGCTGATGGTGTAACTCGCAGTGAATCAACAGTTGTTCTATTGCTTCAAAAAGCTTGTAATGCAAAGCGCATTTATGCTGAAGTAAAAAGTGCGAGTGTTTGTTTTGGAAATCTCACAAGCGATAAATTACATTTTTATCCTGATCATGATTTTCAATCACATCTGATGAGAAGAACTTTAAAAGAATGTGGTATTCTTGGTAAAGATATATCATTTGTTGAAGCTACAGGTTTAGCGTTGAAGAATATTGATGCTGAAGAAGTAACAGCAATAGATGAAGTTTACAATGAAGGACGAGAAACGCCTCTTTTAATTGGATCCGTCAAATCTAATCTTGGATACTGTGCAGCAACAAGCCCACTTAATGGAGTTATTAAGGTTTTTACATTTAGACAATTTAATTTTGCTTACATAAATTTTATTAGACATATTAAAATAAACATTGTAGTACTAAGTACCATACAACTATTAACAGTACTAAGCAATACCTAATCAGTGAATTTTTAAGTAGGTTATCACAGCAATGGAATCGGGTTACATACCACCAAATCTTCATTTTAACGAACCATCGAACAAAATTTCTGCACTTAAGCAAAACCGATGCCAAGTTGTAACGGAATTAACTCCTTGGACTGGTGACTACGCAGTCGTTAATGCTCTATCACTTGAAGGACCCAGTGGAAATATTATATTAAAAAGTTTTAAAAAGGAAAAGAAGAATGAAGGAAAACCAGACGACAATCTTCCAAGATTAATTATATGTTCTGCACGTACAGAAGAATGTGTTAATTTTCTTCTAAGCGAGGTATTTACTTAATTAAATTTGTATTTATTCTTATCGTGAAAAATCATTATTCTCCAGATATAAAAAACCCTATTTTACAGTTAGAAAGCCGACCAGTCGATGCAGAAATGATTCAGCTTTTATACGATGTATTTGAAACTGAAATAACAGCGCATTTATATCGAGGATTTACAGTACTTCCTCCTGAAGGATTGGTAGAAAATAAGTCACGAGAGATTCAATTTAATACCGGAACGAACAGGGAAATTTGGTATATGTTTTCCGGCATGGGTTCTCAATGGGTGGGAATGGGTAAGTTCTGTCCTAAAATCACAAGAAGACTTTCAATATTTAGAAATAAGTGAACTAATTTTTATTTACTAAATAAAATAAGGAAAACTGTTTTTATAAACTTATTAATTTAAATTCTGATTTAACAGGTGAAGCTCTTTTGAAAATACCCGTTTTTGCGGAAGCAATAAACAAATGCGATCGTGTTTTAAAACCAAGAGGCATAGATATTGTGGGCATTATTACAGAAAATGATCCAAAGATGTTTGATAACATTGTCAATTCATTTGTTGGAATTGCTGCTATTCAAGTAAAAAACTTTTTCAAAATATGACATGAAATATAAAAAATTAAAATCTCTAGACTGAGATAACTTTAAAGCAAACATGGTTTGAAATAATAAGGAATAAAAAATATAATAACATATTTTAGATTGGTCTAGTAGATGTCTTAGACTCAGTGGGAGTGAAACCTGATTTTTTAATTGGACACTCAGTTGGTGAATTGGGATGTGCTTATGCTGATGGGTGTTTTACAGCAGAACAGATGGTTCTTGCTGCATTAAGCAGAGGATTGGCATCAGTGGAAGCGGAAATGCCAAGAGGTTCTATGGCAGCAGTTGGTCTTGGTTATGAAGAAATAAAGAATCTCTGTCCACCTGATATTGATGTAGCATGCCACAACAGTTCAAGCAGTTCCACTATCAGTGGTCCTGAAGAATCTATGAAAACATTCATAGCAAATCTAATAGTTAGTAACATTTAAATTAAAAATTAAATTAAGTTTAATTGCATTTAAATTTAAGACAATATATCATTAACGTTATCTAAATGAAAAGATTTTTAAAATAAAAACTCTTTTCTAATTAATGCTAAATACATATTGTAGGAAAATAAAATTTTTGCTAAAGAGGTGGCTTGTAGTAATATTGCCTACCACAGCCGATATATTTCTCCAGCTGGCGAAAAGTTAAAAAAATACCTACAAGAAATAGTTCCGAACCCTAAACCTAGAAGTGATCGTTGGATAAGTAGTTCGGTGCCACGTAACGAATGGAAAACAGCTAGAGCACGACTGTCATCTGCAGCATATCACACGAACAACCTTCTAAATCCTGTCTTGTTCGCTGAAAGTACAAAGCTTATTCCATCAAGTGCGATCGTTATTGAAATAGCCCCTCACGGACTACTTCAGGCGATCGTCAAGAAATCATTACCAAAAAATGTTCTCAATATACCCTTAACTAGAAGAGGTCATCTTGATGGTGTATTCTTTCTGTTAGAAGGTTTAGGAAAAATTTACAACACTGGCAGGAATATTAAAGTGTCCAATCTATATCCTAGAATTAGCTATCCTGTATCACGTGGAACACCTTCAATTTCATCACTAATTAAATGGGATCACTCAAAAAAATGGTAACCTGTCGTAACAATTGTCTCTGCAAATTGCATTTGATCAATAGTAACTTACATTGTATACAATTAAAAATAGGTTCACCAGTAAAGTTGACAAAGCGAAGGAAGTAAAAGAGGGAGAGATTAAATTCACCATTGATTTAAATAATGATACATGGGATTTTTTAAAACATGCCAAATTTGAAAGCAAAATTGTTATTCCACTATCTCTTTATTTAAAACTAGTTTCAGATATTATAAGAAGTTTTCAAGATAATACTGAATTCTCAATAGTGTACAAAAATGTGGAAGTTCATAAGCAACAAGTGGAGATTTCTGTTGATAATAATATCGAATTGGTAATAATGGTTCAAAAAGGTAGACGATTTACTTGTTTTATTAAATCAAATTATTTGACTATTTAATTAATAAAATTAACTAATCAAATAGACTTCTGTTTCCAGGCACTGGTTTCTTTGAAGTAACAAGTATGGAAACTTTATTATGCTCCGGAATGGTGAATATAAATGACGACCCTAATCAGAATTCCATTGATGTTTATAAAGAACACGAGACTATAGATCAATATGTAAACGAAAGTCAAGTCTATAGTGAATTACAGAGACGGGGCTTCCAATATTCTGTCCCATTCACAACTATTCAAAAATCGTCAATTGATGGTAATAGCGGATATTTAGTCTGGAAAGATAATTGGACTACATTTTTAGATGGAATGATTCAAATGTATATCCTTGGAAACGACACGAGAACTGCACAAGTTCCGATAAAAATTAAAAACATCTTTATTGACATGAAGCATCAAGAAGAAATTACTAACAAATCAATAGGTTAGTCTTTGGAGTAATTTTGTAATCTTTAAATAAAAACGAAAACAAAGTATTAATTATTGTAAACATTTCAGAAATACCGGTAACAATCCATAGACGGTTAGGAAATATTAGCGCAGGAGGGGTGAAAATGATAGGGGTCGTTCTTGAATCTATTCTCAATGAATCTGGGCGACAGAACATTGTAGCTGAAGAAATTTTACCTAATTCAATTTTAGGAGCATTTGAACATATACCACTATCCTGCAATCTTCAAAAAGTGTCGAATTGGAAAGCAAAGCAGCTAAAATCTTTGGATTTAAATTCAATTTCATGGATTGAGGACTTACCAACAAAAGCTGTAAACAAAATCAAAGTCGAATACGCTTCTATTAATCAAGGAGATATTTTGTTAGCAAAAACTAATAAATCATTAGAAGAACCTCGAAGTAATAGACTCGATATCAAATCATTTGGGCAAGAATATTCTGGAACTAATTTACAAGAAAACAGAGTAATGGGAATTGTTAAAAATTCTGCCCTATCAAATTACATAACACCTGATGAAGACTTCACATGGAAAATACCTGAGAATTGGTCCTTGGAAGATGCTGTGACTGTACCTTTAGCATATGCAAATGCATATTTAGCTTTGATGATAAAGGGACAACTTGAAGTTAATCAATCTGTTTTTGTGTATGATGGTTCATGTTCTATTGGACAAGCTATAATTAATCTAGCTTTGAATTTAACTTCACAAATATTCGTTCGTTTGTCCAATGATGACGAGAAATGTAATATGAAAATAAACTTTTCCAATATTCCAGAAAGTCATTTTATAAATTCATCAATAAGCTTCGCTGATCAAATATTGGAAAAGACAAAGGGAAAAGGAGCAGACTTAATAATATATAATGGAGATGATTTAAGTAAAATAGAAAGTTGCATGATGTCTGTGAAAAACTGTGGAAAGGTCGTTATTATAGGAAATATGAATGCAACACTTCATAGAATAGTAGGATTGCAAATTTTCCGCACAGGAATTGCTTTATCTGCAATAATTCCAAGTCATATATCAAATCTCGATAATGCCACGAAGAAAATAATATCTCAAATGATTTTAAATGGAATATCATGGAAACTTATCAAACCATTACATAGATGTGTCTACTCCAGAGAAATGGTGAAAGATGCTTTTATTCATGGAGCTTCTAACAATGCTTCTGGAAAAGTAATATATTTTTTTGAATTTTGAAGCATATTTTGAATTTTTAATGTAAATTTCAACTCTAAATATTTTGTTACAATTTGTTCTTTTTTAGGTCGTTGTCAAAATACAACCAGAAGATGGAAGTAATAAAGCTCTTTCAATACCTCGTTTCTTGTGCAAAAGCGAAGCCTCCTACTTAATTATTGATGGGCTGGGTGACATTGGACTGGAACTAATCGACTTTCTAGTAGTTAGAGGTGCCAGAAGTATCGTCATAGCTTCCGAATCAAAAAATGACAGAGCTTTTATTAATCACCAGATAAGTTTGTGGAGAAGTTACGGAGTTTTAATTTCAGTTCGTGAAGAACTGGATCTTACACATTGTGAAAATGGAAATGCTCTTCTTGAGGAAGTTGGCACGTTTGGCACAGTGGATGCAATTTTCGACCTTCAGCGCCTTAACAATTCATCAAAAAGATCATCTAATTCAAAATATTTGTTCACCAAACACCTCTTTGAAGAATCTAAGCAAATGTGCCCTAATTTACGCCAATTTGTTGTCTTTTCAACATGTAACCATATCATAGAAAGTATTAACGACATTTTTTTAAGAGAAATCGATTTAACTAAAATTTTCAAACAAAAATCAAAAGCAGTTACAGGACTTTTGATTCTCTTGGGTCCAGTTTCTGGAATTGCTAAAAAAACAACGAAATACGAGAGAAATGTACCAATATTAACTAATTCGATTATTATGAAAGAAATGGATAATTTAATTGCATCCAACGCAAACATTGTGTCTCTTTCATTATTGATTCAGCATGAATTTAAACTTTAAAAGTTTCAATACTAATTGTAAATTCTAATTATATGATTGAATAAACCTGACAAAAATTTCTAGTCAGAAAAATCAGAAATTTCTAATCAGATCTTTTGTTTTATTTCTTAATTATTACCTGGCATTATCATATTTTTTATCACTCAAATCTAATTTATACTAATTAGTATCAACTTTTTCAAAAATTAAGAAATCCTTATTAATGATTACATAACTCACTAAATCTATTTTGGAAAAATATAATTGAATATATTAAGAATAACATTGTTACCAGACAATGAATATTTAAAAAATTTAAATCTATTATTTTTGGGTGTAAGTTTCGAACTTTGTAATTAAACTTTGATCTCTAAACAAGAACAATGTAAAAAGTGTATTTAAGAAAGCATTAATCGTATTCGTAAAATAATCGCAAATTATAATTTCAGTATTATTTACCTCAAAAAGTTTCGATTATAATTTAGAGAACGAAAGCCCCTCTTTGACAATGATTATAAAAATAGGTTCATTTTCAAAATAAAGTTCATATAGAACGTAGTCGTATACACAAAAATAAGTTTTTCATTTTTTTTCAAACAGTGATCAACTATTAGGGAAGTATATTCAATAAGTAAAATTATATAGCAGTAGGTCAATATAAAAAATTAAAATTCTTTTCTATCTTATTTAATTAGAAGAATACTTAGTGAAAATGGAATCAAAATTATTAGGAGATGAAATAGTTATTTCCGGTATTGCTGGAAGATTTCCGAACAGTGATAATTTCAACGAATTACAGAATAATCTATTAAATAAAATAGACTGTGTTAGTGATTCCAAAACACGTTGGGACTACGGTATGAATTACTTTTAAATTCTACATATATGTATGTATTATTATGAAAGAATGTGCTAATTATGAAAGACGATTTGATAATACTTACATTGATCAATACACTTAGAACAAAGATATATTTAATTCAGAGCCTAATAAATTATATACTTGCTTCCAATAAATTTTATTCGATTCAAACAACATTTTTCTCTGGATGCACAAAACCGTAAAAATTACATTTGACATTTTTAAAAATATTTTTTCAGATGATCCTCAAGTACCTCAACGAATTGGTGCAATGAAAAATATTCGTAATTTTGATCAGGCATTTTTTGGAATTCATGGAAAAGTGGTAGGTTCCATGGATCCTATGGTACGAATAATGATAGAAAATGCTTACGAAGCCATTGCTGATGCTGGAATTAATCCAAGAAATTTAAAGGGAAGCAAGACAGCAGTATATACTGGAAGCAGTTTTTCAGAATCAGAAAAAATAATCTTCTTTGATAAATATTCGGTATGACATACTTTACTTACTTCTAAATTTACAATAATTGTGTTTTACACTGTTGCTAAGAAGCATCATTTAAAATGTTAATTTGTTTCAGACAAATGGGTATGGTTTGTTAGGAATAGGTCGTTGTATGCTGGCGAATCGAATTTCATTTTTCTTTAACCTTACTGGACCAAGTATTAATGTCGATACAAATTGTTGTGCAGGAGCCACTGCATTACAGAAAGGATTTATGGCAATTCAATCTGGACTTGTCGAAAATGCTATTATAGGAGCTAGTAATGTTATTATAAATCCACAAATGTCTCTACAACTATTTCTATTAGGTAAAAATCACGTTTTAACTGATAGAGAATATTTAACAAAAAATTCTTTTGCAAAGAAAATGTATTAAAAATTTCAGGACTGTTGTCACCCGACGGGATAACAAAATCATTCGACAATAAAGCTGATGGTTATACACGCAGTGAAGGAAATGTAGTTTTTTTTCTGCAAAAAGCTAAAGATGCAAAACGAATTTATGCGGAATTAAAAAATGTTAGCAGTTCTTTTGCGAGTGCTACTGAAAACCACTTACTTTTCTATCCAAATTATGATTCCCAAGCTCAACTGATGAAATTTACATTGAAAGATTGCGGACTTTCTGGTAGAGATATTTCATATGTCGAAGCAGACGGTTCAGGAATAAAGGATGTTGAAGCTGAAGAAGTAAAAGCAATTGATGAGGTTTACAATGAGGGACGTAAATCACCACTTACTATTGGATCTATCAAATCTAACCTTGGCTCTTGTTCGGCTGTGAATCCACTTAATGGAATTATTAAGGTTATAACAGCTATGGAGTCGGGATATATTCCACCTAACCTTCATTTTAAAACACCTTCTGACAAAATCCCTGCTCTTAAAGAAGGTAGATGCAAAGTTGTAACGGAATTAACACCATGGACTGGAGATTATGCAGTCGTTAATAGTCTAGCATTTAGCGGTGTATGCAGCAATATTATATTGAAAGATTTCAAAAAGGAAAAGATAAATAAAGGACAACCTAACGACACTCTTCCAAGAATAGTCATAGCATCAGGATGCACAGAACAAGCTGTTGACCTTCTTCTAAGCGATGTGGGTATATAAAAACTTGCTTTTGTTTATTCCTATCTTTAAACATTGTCTTAAAAATTAATTTATTTGCAAAGCTGGAAAGCCGACCTGTGGACGTAGAAATGCTTCAACTTATGTACGATGTATTTGAAACTGAAACTCCTGCTCACTTATATCGAGGTTATACATTATTGCCTCCTAATGGATTGGTAACAAACAAAACGAGAAAAATTCAACACTTTCAAGGTGAAAGAAAAGAAATTTGGTACATGTTTTCTGGCATGGGTTCTCAATGGGTAGGAATGGGTAAGATTTCGCACACTACATTTAATATAATTGTGAAGCTTCGAACAAAGAATTTAAAAAATGTAAAAACTTTTAATTTTTTAGGAGAAGCTTTATTACAAATACCAGTTTTTGCGAAAGCTATAGAAAAATGCGATCGTGTCTTAAAACCGAGAGGTATTGACATAAAGCACATCATTACAGCAAAGGATCCAAAAATGTTTGACAACATTGTAAATTCATTTGTTGGAATTGCTGCTATTCAGGTAAGTGAAAATTTAGAAGAGAAGATTTAAGAAAAATTTATAATCTTACAAAATTAATTTATAGAATTAATAGTGTATTATTCTGAATTAACGTAAAAATTGACATTAGAATTAGATTTTGGCAGTTCATTTTTCTAATGTAAAAATTTGTTATTGTCAAAAGAATAACTATCTATACATCAATTTCAGATTGGTTTGGTAGATGTCTTAGACTCAGTTGGACTGAAACCAGATTTCTTAATTGGGCATTCAGTGGGAGAGTTAGGATGTGCTTATGCTGATGGATGTTTTACAGCAGAACAAATGGTTCTTGCTGCATTAAGCAGAGGATTGGCATCAGTAGAAACGGAAATGCCAAGAGGTTCTATGGCAGCAGTTGGTCTAGGTTACGAAGAAATAAAAAATCTCTGCCCACCAGATATTGATGTAGCTTGTCGTAATAGTGCAGACAGTTGCACTATCAGTGGACCTGAAGAATCTGTGAAAACTTTCGTTACGCAATTACAAGTGAGATAAGATTAAATTCTAAATTTAATATCTTGGAATAAAACAATATTTTCAAGTCATAATAAATAAATTTGAAATCTTTTCCAAGGAGAAGAAAATCTTTGCCAAAGAAGTAGCCTGCAGTAACATAGCCTACCACAGTCGATACATTGCTCCAGCGGGTGAAAAATTAAAAAAATACCTTCGGGAGGTAATACCTAATCCCAAACCTAGAAGTAATCGTTGGGTGAGCAGTTCAGTACCACGCGACGAATGGAATTCAGCCAGGGCTCGTCTATCATCTGCAGAATATCATACAAACAACCTATTAAATTCCGTCCTGTTTGCTGAAGCTGCAAAATGCATTCCATCGTATGCAGTAGTAATTGAAATAGCGCCACACGGTCTTCTGCAGGCCATCGTCAGAAAATCATTACCAGACACTGTTATTAATGTGCCCTTAACTAAAAGAAATCATCCAGACAATGCATCATTCCTTTTTGCTGCTTTAGGAAATATTTACAATGCTGGCTATATTATCAAAGTGTCAAGTCTTTATCCTAATGTCAAGTATCCGGTATCACGAGGAACACCATCAATTTCTTCCCTAATTGAATGGGACCGATCAACTGAATTGTAAGTAAGCAAACTTTAAATATTTTGACTACTTATAATTCGAGCATTGACATTGAAGCGCAAACAATGTAAACAAAATATAATAAAAAGTATTATTAAAATATTATTTCAGGAGAACTAAAGGTGGAAGTCAAAGGACTAAAATTAATGAGGGACACATGAACTTTGTAGTGAATTTAAATGATGATAAATGGAGATTTTTAAATCACTCCAGGATTGATAGCAAAATTGTGATTCCAATAAGTCTTTACTTAAATACTGCTTGGGATATTATAAAGAGTTTTCAAAATACTTCTGAATTCGGAGTAATATACAAGAATGTAAAAATTCATGAACAGTTAGTTGAAATACCATTTGATGAAAGTATTGAGTTATTAACAATGGTTCAAAAAGGTAGATGATTAATTTATTTAAAAAAAACAAAACTTTTTATCTAAACATTCATTCAACGTAAAAATTAATTTTTATAAACATCAAACTTAGCATCAACTTACTACTTCTTTTAGGTTCTGGTTACTTCGAAGTAACAAATAACAATATTTTACTTTGCTCTGGAATATTGCAAGTAGCCACTGAGCCAAACTCTACACAAAGTAATAAAGAAGACAAAAGTTATCTAGGTCTAAGTGAAAATCAAATTTATGATGAATTAACAATGCGAGGTTTACAATATTCAGGTCCGTTTAGAAGTATTTGTAAATCATCAATCAATGGTAGAAATGGAAATATAGTTTGGCAAGACAACTGGACAACATTTTTAGATGGAATGATTCAAATGTATGTTCTTGGAAACGATACAAGAAAGGCACAAGTTCTAATTAAAATTAGAAACATTTCTATTAACACAAAACTACATGAAGAAATTACTAAGAAGACAAATGGTGAGGACTACACTCTGAATAAAGAACATTTAAGTATAAAGAAGCTTAAGTATTAATTGTTTGTTACATTTTCAGAAATACCAGTAACAGTTGATAGAATATTAGGAAGTATTAGAGCAGGAGGAATTCAAATGGAAGGAGTCGTTTTTGAATATATTCTAAATGAGTCTTGGAGAAAGAATATTGTTACTGAAGAGATTTTGCCTGGTAAAGTTTTGGGAACATTCGAACATTTTCCACTATCTTTTAATCTTCAACAACAAGTATCAAATTGGCGAGCAGATCAGCTAAAATCATTAGATTTAAATTCAATTTCCTGGGTAGAGGAACTCGCATCAAATCTTGAAAATAAAATCAAAATCGAATACTCTTCGGTTAATCGAACAGATATTCTGTTGGCAAATTCTAAGACATCATTAGAAAGCACTAGGAGCACATACGAAATGAAGTCGTTTGGTCAAGAATACTCTGGAATTAATTCACAAGGAAATAGAGTAATGGGAATCGTTGCAAATAATGGAATTTCAAATTACACAACACCTGATATTGATTTTACTTGGAAAATACCTGAGGATTGGTCTTTAGAAGATGCTGCGACTGTACCTCTAGCATACTCAACAGCATATTTGGCTCTGATGATACAAGGAGAATTAAAAAGCAATGAATTAATTTTTATCTACGATGGTGCCTGTTCTATTGGGCAAGCTTTAATTAATCTGGCATTTGATATTACATCAAAAGTTTTTGTTGGACACAATAGTAATGCCGAGAGAAATTTCCTGAAAGAAGTATATCCAAGTATTCCCGATAACCACTTTATCCAATTAACAAAAGATTTTAGAAATCAATTGCTTGTACAAACAGAAGACAAAAAAATAAACTTAATAATATACAATTCAGATGATATAAATAATCTAGAGGATTGTTTGTCGTGCGTAAAAGAATTTGAAAGAATTGTTGTGATTGGAAATTTCCAAGAATCATATTATACTTCAATAGGTATGCTACAATTTAATAATAGTATTAGTCTGTTTTCAATCATTCCCAGAAAGGTAATAAACCAAACGCAGGAAACAAAACAAAAATTGTCGGAAATGCTGCAACGAGGAATATCGACTCAGATTGTAAAGCCATTGCCAAAACGTATTTACTCTAGAGAAATGTTAAAGAATGCTTTCATTGCCGGTTCCTTAATGGATGTCTTTCATAAGGTAACAATTATTTAATTTTTTCGCTTTTTTGTAGAATAAGTCCATAAAGTATTTCTTATTCATATTCTAAATTAATCATAATCGGTTGTTTTCAGAATATTGTCAAAGTACAACCGGATGATGGAGGAAAAACAGCATCGGCAGTACCTCGCTTCTTCTGTAGAACCAAGGGATCGTATTTGATACTGGAAGGATTGAATTACTTTGGTCTAGATCTAATTGAATTTTAGTTCTCAGAGGTGCTAAAAATATTTTTATAGCTAACGAAACAAAAAACACGAATGCTGTTGTAGAACATAGACTAAAAATATGGAGAGAAAGTGGAATAAAAATCACAATTCGTGAAGAATTAGACTCTACGCACAGTCAAAATGTAAACAGTCTTCTTGAAGAAGCTGGCACACTTGGCACAGTAGATGCAATTTTCGACCTTCAGCGCCTTAACAATTTATCAAGAAGGTCCTCTAACTCGAAATATTTATTCACCAAACATCTGTTTAAAGAATCTAAGCAAATGTGCCCTAAATTACGCCATTTTGTTGTCTTATCATCATGCATCCATATCAAAGAAAGAATTGACGACATTTTATTACGAGAAATTGATTTAACCAAAATTTTCCAACAAAAATCAAAAGAAATCAAGGGACTTTTAATTTTCCTCGGACCAGTATGTGGAATTACAGAAAGCACAAATGAAAAGAATGTACCCATCTTAACTAATTCCATTATCATAGACCAAATAGATACTTTAATTAGATCAAACGCATCTATTGTTGCTATGTCCTATAAACCTTTAGCAATCGAGCAGAAAAAGGTGATAACTGATTTCGCTTGACTGTATTCTTTAAAAATCTAATTATTAAATTACAGTTTGATAATTCTATTTTTCATTTTCAGTTAGAGAAAAATAATATTGCCAGTGAAGAATCAGAAAGGTCAAAATTCGAAAATTACATTAAAGGAAGTGTATCATCATTTTGAAGGCATCAAAATTGAAAATAAAACATTAAGATTAAGATCATTGTATACATTTTTGAAAATTAATACTAATTGTCAAAACAATTATATTGTAATAATATTTAAAATTTCGAAAAATCTAACCATATGTGACTTGGACAGTGAAAAGGGACCTTACGTGCGAAAACAAGTTTTCGAGAAAACAGCAGTTAAAGTTTAACTTAGAAAAACCCTTGTAATTTTTTTAAATATTAATATTTTTTAATCAAGTTAAGCTTATTTTCTTCACCGTGAATCACAGTATCAAAATAAAAAACATATAAGTAATGAAAATTTTTTTTTAACAATTGTTTATATAAATTAATAACAAACTCCCCAAACATAGAAAAAATAATCTAAGTTTTCTAACTAGCAACAATAAGTATTAAATAAGTGACACATGTTTGTAAGGGTTTTCGAGGCCGCTGATTACGAATATGATGTTAAATTGACAATTTGACAGTTGCCAGCTGTCAACTTCTCTAAAAAATAATCGTTTTTTGTAAAAAAGACCGTAATAAGGTTTTTGAGGTCGCTGATTACGAATATGATATCAAATTTGAATTTTAACTGTTGACAGTTGTCAAAGAAACTGTCAACTTTTCTAAATAATAAAAAATTATCGTTTTCGTTATTTTAATTTGTATAATAACAGAAAATCAGTTTTTTCGTATTTTTACTCTTGTTTCTTTTGACTTTAAAATTTTTTTTTAAAAACTTATAATCAACTTATGACTTTTTGGTTTTCACCATCTTAAAGAGCGTTTCAAACCCTATCCGAATCAACAAAAAAGTAAAAAATAATTTTTTGACACGTAAGGTCCCTTTTCATAGACCAGGTCACATATAATATTTTAAAAGTGACTAAAATTACATAAAATAAATGTCCATCATAAGCCCCATTACACTACCTACTTTATGAGTAACTAGTTTTATTTCAAATTGTCGATCAAATAAAAATTATAATTGCACAAAATGTTAACAAAAAGAAATTGTAACTAAAAAACAAAGCAGCTTAGTTGGAGCGAAAATAAATAGAACGAAAAAAATTAATTTTCATTTTAAGATTCTTTTTTCCTGTCAATACAAATTTAAAAAGTGAAATATCAAAAACAGTAATTATATAAGTAAAAAATTTTAATTTATTCAATACAATTGACCTCACGAAATATAGCATTTAATTTCAAATTGAGTAATCTTTATTATCGAATAAAAAAAGACGTTTATTTTAAGTACATTGTTCATATCGGACGTACATGTAAAAGAAAAGAATAAGTTTTTAAAAAATTGAAATAATTACTTGCAAGTAAAGAAGGATTTCAAATAGAATTTCTATTTACCTAATAAAAATAAAAAATGGAATCAATGACGGAAGATGAAATAGCAATATCCGGTATAAGTGGAAGATTTCCAAAATTTTAACGAGCTGCAAAACAATCTTTTAAATAAAATAGACTGTGTTGATGACTGCAACATACTATGGGACTGCGGTAGGAATTGTTAATAATTAGTTAATGAATAGTTTTCTAAAAAAAGACGTAAGACGTTATCAAAACAATTATAAAATGTTAACAAGGTGAAACTTTAATGTGCTTTAAATAAAAAACTGATTTTCAAGAATGACTAATAAAGATTAAAAATTCAATAATCCTAAATCACGAAAATAGAAAGATGTTAATTATAAATGCATCATTCATATCGGACGTATACTTTTAAATATTTAATTTTAAATAAAAAGACGTAAGATTTTTAAAGAAAATAAATATTCTTGGTGGATTGTTTGTTTAGTTTGAAAAAGAAAATATTGACACTGAAGAATCAGAAAGGTCGAAATTCGAAAAATACATTACATTTCTTGAATTAAGAAATTATTTACAATTAACAAGTATAAGTTGTAATAATGAAGTTCAATGTATTTTGAAGACATTAAATTTCTTTATTTTTGAAATATGAGTCTTAAAGTATCTAATTAAACTTTGATCTCTTGTCAATTTTAATTTTGAAATCAGATAATTAAAAAAATTTTAATGTATTTTAATATATTTGCCCTCAGAAAGTAATGCATTTAATTTTAAAGCCAGTAACCTCTGATCCAGAGTATAAAAAGACGTTCTATTTAAATATATCGTTAATATCGGACGATTAAGAGAAACCAAAAGAAAGTTATTGGACAAATTAAAATTACAACTTTCAATTCGAAAAGCATTTTAAACAGAAATACTACTTACCTAATAACAATAAAAAATGGAATCAACAATATCGGGAGATGAGATAGTAATATCTGGTATAGGTGGAAGATTTCCAAACAGTGATAATTTTAACGAACTGCAAAACAATCTTTTAAATAAAATAGATTGTGTTGGTGACTGCAACATGCGTTGGGACAGTGGTATGAATTTTGAATAATTAGTTAATAGTTTTCTAAGAAAGACGTTAGCTGACTAAGAATAACAAATTTTGTTCTAAAATAAAGTAAATTAGTTCAAGCTCATGTATGTTAATTCAAGAGGATCTATGTAATGAGAGATAATTAAAATATGCAATTAAATTAATATTAATAATAAATAATAATAACTCTGCAGATCAGCATAATGTTCCACATTGTATTGGTACAATAAAAAATATTCACAATTTCGATCGTGTGTTTTTTGGAATTCACGGAAAGCTGGTTGATTGTTTAGATCCTATGGTAAAATTAATAATAGCTACTTCCTACGAAGCTATTACCGATGCTGGAATTAATCCAAGAAATTTAAAAGGAAGTAAAACGGCAGTATTTAGTGGCAGTAGTTTTTCGGAATCAGAAAAAACAATCTTTTGCGACAATCATTCAGTACGAAAATTTATAACTTGCGAATTAAAAAATGTTCATATATATTATTTCAATAGAATATTATCCAAAGGTTAATTTGATTCAAAGTAAAATGTGAAATTTGTCAAATAACAAATTTATCTTTCAGAAAAATGAATACGGTATACAAGGAATTGTTCGCGCATTTCTGGCAAATCGAACATCGTTTTTTTTCGGTCTTACTGGACCAAGTGTTAATGTTGATTCTAATTGCTGTGGAGGTGCCACAGCATTGCAGGAAGGTTTCATGGCAATTAAAACTGGACGTGCAGAAAACGCTATTGTCGCTTCCAGTAATATTATTTTACATCCAGAAACATCCCTACAATTATCTTTGTTAGGTATTTGCAGTTTTAAAAACTATAATTTTAAAACGAGAAAAAGTTCTATATTCAAATAGCATTATATGAAAATTAGTTTGTCTCACAAAGAATGGTTTTCAACGGATTTTTAAATTTCATTTTCGCTATTGAAACATATTTCAGGACTTTTATCACCCGATGGCATAACAAAAACATTCGATAATGAAGCTGACGGTTACACACGCAGCGAAGCGATTGTAGTGTATTTTCTACAAAAAGCTCGTGACGCAAAGCGCATTTATGCGGAAGTGAAAAATGTCCTCACTGGTTTTGCAAGTAACAGTATTGATCAGTCTCTTCTATACCCAAACTGTGATTCTCAAGTGGACCTCATGAAAAGAACCTTGAAAGAGTGTGGCCTTTCTGGTAAAGATATTTCATACGTCGAAGCAGACGGTTCAGGAATAAAGGATGTTGACGCTGAAGAAGTAAGAGCAATCGACCAGGTTTACAATGAGGGGCGTAAATCACCACTTACTATTGGATCTATCAAATCTAACATTGGCTCTTGTTCAGCTGTTAATCCACTTAATGGAATTATTAAGGTTATAACAGCTATGGAGTCGGGATATATTCCACCTAACCTTCATTTTAAAACACCTTCTGACAAAATCCCTGCTCTTAAAGAAGGTAGATGCAAAGTTGTAACGGAATTAACACCATGGACTGGAGATTATGCAGTCGTTAATAGTCTAGCATTTAGCGGTGTATGCAGCAATATTATATTGAAAGATTTCAAAAAGGAAAAGATAAATAAAGGACAACCTAACGACACTCTTCCAAGAATAGTCATAGCATCAGGATGCACAGAACAAGCTGTTGACCTTCTTCTAAGCGATGTGGGTATATAAAAACTTGCTTTTGTTTATTCCTATCTTTAAACATTGTCTTAAAAATTAATTTATTTGCAAAGCTGGAAAGCCGACCTGTGGACGTAGAAATGCTTCAACTTATGTACGATGTATTTGAAACTGAAACTCCTGCTCACTTATATCGAGGTTATACATTATTGCCTCCTAATGGATTGGTAACAAACAAAACGAGAAAAATTCAACACTTTCAAGGTGAAAGAAAAGAAATTTGGTACATGTTTTCTGGCATGGGTTCTCAATGGGTAGGAATGGGTAAGATTTCGCACACTACATTTAATATAATTGTGAAGCTTCGAACAAAGAATTTAAAAAATGTAAAAACTTTTAATTTTTTAGGAGAAGCTTTATTACAAATACCAGTTTTTGCGAAAGCTATAGAAAAATGCGATCGTGTCTTAAAACCGAGAGGTATTGACATAAAGCACATCATTACAGCAAAGGATCCAAAAATGTTTGACAACATTGTAAATTCATTTGTTGGAATTGCTGCTATTCAGGTAAGTGAAAATTTAGAAGAGAAGATTTAAGAAAAATTTATAATCTTACAAAATTAATTTATAGAATTAATAGTGTATTATTCTGAATTAACGTAAAAATTGACATTAGAATTAGATTTTGGCAGTTCATTTTTCTAATGTAAAAATTTGTTATTGTCAAAAGAATAACTATCTATACATCAATTTCAGATTGGTTTGGTAGATGTCTTAGACTCAGTTGGACTGAAACCAGATTTCTTAATTGGGCATTCAGTGGGAGAGTTAGGATGTGCTTATGCTGATGGATGTTTTACAGCAGAACAAATGGTTCTTGCTGCATTAAGCAGAGGATTGGCATCAGTAGAAACGGAAATGCCAAGAGGTTCTATGGCAGCAGTTGGTCTAGGTTACGAAGAAATAAAAAATCTCTGCCCACCAGATATTGATGTAGCTTGTCGTAATAGTGCAGACAGTTGCACTATCAGTGGACCTGAAGAATCTGTGAAAACTTTCGTTACGCAATTACAAGTGAGATAAGATTAAATTCTAAATTTAATATCTTGGAATAAAACAATATTTTCAAGTCATAATAAATAAATTTGAAATCTTTTCCAAGGAGAAGAAAATCTTTGCCAAAGAAGTAGCCTGCAGTAACATAGCCTACCACAGTCGATACATTGCTCCAGCGGGTGAAAAATTAAAAAAATACCTTCGGGAGGTAATACCTAATCCCAAACCTAGAAGTAATCGTTGGGTGAGCAGTTCAGTACCACGCGACGAATGGAATTCAGCCAGGGCTCGTCTATCATCTGCAGAATATCATACAAACAACCTATTAAATTCCGTCCTGTTTGCTGAAGCTGCAAAATGCATTCCATCGTATGCAGTAGTAATTGAAATAGCGCCACACGGTCTTCTGCAGGCCATCGTCAGAAAATCATTACCAGACACTGTTATTAATGTGCCCTTAACTAAAAGAAATCATCCAGACAATGCATCATTCCTTTTTGCTGCTTTAGGAAATATTTACAATGCTGGCTATATTATCAAAGTGTCAAGTCTTTATCCTAATGTCAAGTATCCGGTATCACGAGGAACACCATCAATTTCTTCCCTAATTGAATGGGACCGATCAACTGAATTGTAAGTAAGCAAACTTTAAATATTTTGACTACTTATAATTCGAGCATTGACATTGAAGCGCAAACAATGTAAACAAAATATAATAAAAAGTATTATTAAAATATTATTTCAGGAGAACTAAAGGTGGAAGTCAAAGGACTAAAATTAATGAGGGACACATGAACTTTGTAGTGAATTTAAATGATGATAAATGGAGATTTTTAAATCACTCCAGGATTGATAGCAAAATTGTGATTCCAATAAGTCTTTACTTAAATACTGCTTGGGATATTATAAAGAGTTTTCAAAATACTTCTGAATTCGGAGTAATATACAAGAATGTAAAAATTCATGAACAGTTAGTTGAAATACCATTTGATGAAAGTATTGAGTTATTAACAATGGTTCAAAAAGGTAGATGATTAATTTATTTAAAAAAAACAAAACTTTTTATCTAAACATTCATTCAACGTAAAAATTAATTTTTATAAACATCAAACTTAGCATCAACTTACTACTTCTTTTAGGTTCTGGTTACTTCGAAGTAACAAATAACAATATTTTACTTTGCTCTGGAATATTGCAAGTAGCCACTGAGCCAAACTCTACACAAAGTAATAAAGAAGACAAAAGTTATCTAGGTCTAAGTGAAAATCAAATTTATGATGAATTAACAATGCGAGGTTTACAATATTCAGGTCCGTTTAGAAGTATTTGTAAATCATCAATCAATGGTAGAAATGGAAATATAGTTTGGCAAGACAACTGGACAACATTTTTAGATGGAATGATTCAAATGTATGTTCTTGGAAACGATACAAGAAAGGCACAAGTTCTAATTAAAATTAGAAACATTTCTATTAACACAAAACTACATGAAGAAATTACTAAGAAGACAAATGGTGAGGACTACACTCTGAATAAAGAACATTTAAGTATAAAGAAGCTTAAGTATTAATTGTTTGTTACATTTTCAGAAATACCAGTAACAGTTGATAGAATATTAGGAAGTATTAGAGCAGGAGGAATTCAAATGGAAGGAGTCGTTTTTGAATATATTCTAAATGAGTCTTGGAGAAAGAATATTGTTACTGAAGAGATTTTGCCTGGTAAAGTTTTGGGAACATTCGAACATTTTCCACTATCTTTTAATCTTCAACAACAAGTATCAAATTGGCGAGCAGATCAGCTAAAATCATTAGATTTAAATTCAATTTCCTGGGTAGAGGAACTCGCATCAAATCTTGAAAATAAAATCAAAATCGAATACTCTTCGGTTAATCGAACAGATATTCTGTTGGCAAATTCTAAGACATCATTAGAAAGCACTAGGAGCACATACGAAATGAAGTCGTTTGGTCAAGAATACTCTGGAATTAATTCACAAGGAAATAGAGTAATGGGAATCGTTGCAAATAATGGAATTTCAAATTACACAACACCTGATATTGATTTTACTTGGAAAATACCTGAGGATTGGTCTTTAGAAGATGCTGCGACTGTACCTCTAGCATACTCAACAGCATATTTGGCTCTGATGATACAAGGAGAATTAAAAAGCAATGAATTAATTTTTATCTACGATGGTGCCTGTTCTATTGGGCAAGCTTTAATTAATCTGGCATTTGATATTACATCAAAAGTTTTTGTTGGACACAATAGTAATGCCGAGAGAAATTTCCTGAAAGAAGTATATCCAAGTATTCCCGATAACCACTTTATCCAATTAACAAAAGATTTTAGAAATCAATTGCTTGTACAAACAGAAGACAAAAAAATAAACTTAATAATATACAATTCAGATGATATAAATAATCTAGAGGATTGTTTGTCGTGCGTAAAAGAATTTGAAAGAATTGTTGTGATTGGAAATTTCCAAGAATCATATTATACTTCAATAGGTATGCTACAATTTAATAATAGTATTAGTCTGTTTTCAATCATTCCCAGAAAGGTAATAAACCAAACGCAGGAAACAAAACAAAAATTGTCGGAAATGCTGCAACGAGGAATATCGACTCAGATTGTAAAGCCATTGCCAAAACGTATTTACTCTAGAGAAATGTTAAAGAATGCTTTCATTGCCGGTTCCTTAATGGATGTCTTTCATAAGGTAACAATTATTTAATTTTTTCGCTTTTTTGTAGAATAAGTCCATAAAGTATTTCTTATTCATATTCTAAATTAATCATAATCGGTTGTTTTCAGAATATTGTCAAAGTACAACCGGATGATGGAGGAAAAACAGCATCGGCAGTACCTCGCTTCTTCTGTAGAACCAAGGGATCGTATTTGATACTGGAAGGATTGAATTACTTTGGTCTAGATCTAATTGAATTTTTAGTTCTCAGAGGTGCTAAAAATATTTTTATAGCTAACGAAACAAAAAACACGAATGCTGTTGTAGAACATAGACTAAAAATATGGAGAGAAAGTGGAATAAAAATCACAATTCGTGAAGAATTAGACTCTACGCACAGTCAAAATGTAAACAGTCTTCTTGAAGAAGCTGGCACACTTGGCACAGTAGATGCAATTTTCGACCTTCAGCGCCTTAACAATTTATCAAGAAGGTCCTCTAACTCGAAATATTTATTCACCAAACATCTGTTTAAAGAATCTAAGCAAATGTGCCCTAAATTACGCCATTTTGTTGTCTTATCATCATGCATCCATATCAAAGAAAGAATTGACGACATTTTATTACGAGAAATTGATTTAACCAAAATTTTCCAACAAAAATCAAAAGAAATCAAGGGACTTTTAATTTTCCTCGGACCAGTATGTGGAATTACAGAAAGCACAAATGAAAAGAATGTACCCATCTTAACTAATTCCATTATCATAGACCAAATAGATACTTTAATTAGATCAAACGCATCTATTGTTGCTATGTCCTATAAACCTTTAGCAATCGAGCAGAAAAAGGTGATAACTGATTTCGCTTGACTGTATTCTTTAAAAATCTAATTATTAAATTACAGTTTGATAATTCTATTTTTCATTTTCAGTTAGAGAAAAATAATATTGCCAGTGAAGAATCAGAAAGGTCAAAATTCGAAAATTACATTAAAGGAAGTGTATCATCATTTTGAAGGCATCAAAATTGAAAATAAAACATTAAGATTAAGATCATTGTATACATTTTTGAAAATTAATACTAATTGTCAAAACAATTATATTGTAATAATATTTAAAATTTCGAAAAATCTAACCATATGTGACTTGGACAGTGAAAAGGGACCTTACGTGCGAAAACAAGTTTTCGAGAAAACAGCAGTTAAAGTTTAACTTAGAAAAACCCTTGTAATTTTTTTAAATATTAATATTTTTTAATCAAGTTAAGCTTATTTTCTTCACCGTGAATCACAGTATCAAAATAAAAAACATATAAGTAATGAAAATTTTTTTTTAACAATTGTTTATATAAATTAATAACAAACTCCCCAAACATAGAAAAAATAATCTAAGTTTTCTAACTAGCAACAATAAGTATTAAATAAGTGACACATGTTTGTAAGGGTTTTCGAGGCCGCTGATTACGAATATGATGTTAAATTGACAATTTGACAGTTGCCAGCTGTCAACTTCTCTAAAAAATAATCGTTTTTTGTAAAAAAGACCGTAATAAGGTTTTTGAGGTCGCTGATTACGAATATGATATCAAATTTGAATTTTAACTGTTGACAGTTGTCAAAGAAACTGTCAACTTTTCTAAATAATAAAAAATTATCGTTTTCGTTATTTTAATTTGTATAATAACAGAAAATCAGTTTTTTCGTATTTTTACTCTTGTTTCTTTTGACTTTAAAATTTTTTTTTAAAAACTTATAATCAACTTATGACTTTTTGGTTTTCACCATCTTAAAGAGCGTTTCAAACCCTATCCGAATCAACAAAAAAGTAAAAAATAATTTTTTGACACGTAAGGTCCCTTTTCATAGACCAGGTCACATATAATATTTTAAAAGTGACTAAAATTACATAAAATAAATGTCCATCATAAGCCCCATTACACTACCTACTTTATGAGTAACTAGTTTTATTTCAAATTGTCGATCAAATAAAAATTATAATTGCACAAAATGTTAACAAAAAGAAATTGTAACTAAAAAACAAAGCAGCTTAGTTGGAGCGAAAATAAATAGAACGAAAAAAATTAATTTTCATTTTAAGATTCTTTTTTCCTGTCAATACAAATTTAAAAAGTGAAATATCAAAAACAGTAATTATATAAGTAAAAAATTTTAATTTATTCAATACAATTGACCTCACGAAATATAGCATTTAATTTCAAATTGAGTAATCTTTATTATCGAATAAAAAAAGACGTTTATTTTAAGTACATTGTTCATATCGGACGTACATGTAAAAGAAAAGAATAAGTTTTTAAAAAATTGAAATAATTACTTGCAAGTAAAGAAGGATTTCAAATAGAATTTCTATTTACCTAATAAAAATAAAAAATGGAATCAATGACGGAAGATGAAATAGCAATATCCGGTATAAGTGGAAGATTTCCAAAATTTTAACGAGCTGCAAAACAATCTTTTAAATAAAATAGACTGTGTTGATGACTGCAACATACTATGGGACTGCGGTAGGAATTGTTAATAATTAGTTAATGAATAGTTTTCTAAAAAAAGACGTAAGACGTTATCAAAACAATTATAAAATGTTAACAAGGTGAAACTTTAATGTGCTTTAAATAAAAAACTGATTTTCAAGAATGACTAATAAAGATTAAAAATTCAATAATCCTAAATCACGAAAATAGAAAGATGTTAATTATAAATGCATCATTCATATCGGACGTATACTTTTAAATATTTAATTTTAAATAAAAAAGACGTAAGATTTTTAAAGAAAATAAATATTCTTGGTGGATTGTTTGTTTAGTTTGAAAAAGAAAATATTGACACTGAAGAATCAGAAAGGTCGAAATTCGAAAAATACATTACATTTCTTGAATTAAGAAATTATTTACAATTAACAAGTATAAGTAGTAATAATGAAGTTCAATGTATTTTGAAGACATTAAATTTCTTTATTTTTGAAATATGAGTCTTAAAGTATCTAATTAAACTTTGATCTCTTGTCAATTTTAATTTTGAAATCAGATAATTAAAAAAATTTTAATGTATTTTAATATATTTGCCCTCAGAAAGTAATGCATTTAATTTTAAAGCCAGTAACCTCTGATCCAGAGTATAAAAAGACGTTCTATTTAAATATATCGTTAATATCGGACGATTAAGAGAAACCAAAAGAAAGTTATTGGACAAATTAAAATTACAACTTTCAATTCGAAAAGCATTTTAAACAGAAATACTACTTACCTAATAACAATAAAAAATGGAATCAACAATATCGGGAGATGAGATAGTAATATCTGGTATAGGTGGAAGATTTCCAAACAGTGATAATTTTAACGAACTGCAAAACAATCTTTTAAATAAAATAGATTGTGTTGGTGACTGCAACATGCGTTGGGACAGTGGTATGAATTTTGAATAATTAGTTAATAGTTTTCTAAGAAAGACGTTAGCTGACTAAGAATAACAAATTTTGTTCTAAAATAAAGTAAATTAGTTCAAGCTCATGTATGTTAATTCAAGAGGATCTATGTAATGAGAGATAATTAAAATATGCAATTAAATTAATATTAATAATAAATAATAATAACTCTGCAGATCAGCATAATGTTCCACATTGTATTGGTACAATAAAAAATATTCACAATTTCGATCGTGTGTTTTTTGGAATTCACGGAAAGCTGGTTGATTGTTTAGATCCTATGGTAAAATTAATAATAGCTACTTCCTACGAAGCTATTACCGATGCTGGAATTAATCCAAGAAATTTAAAAGGAAGTAAAACGGCAGTATTTAGTGGCAGTAGTTTTTCGGAATCAGAAAAAACAATCTTTTGCGACAATCATTCAGTACGAAAATTTATAACTTGCGAATTAAAAAATGTTCATATATATTATTTCAATAGAATATTATCCAAAGGTTAATTTGATTCAAAGTAAAATGTGAAATTTGTCAAATAACAAATTTATCTTTCAGAAAAATGAATACGGTATACAAGGAATTGTTCGCGCATTTCTGGCAAATCGAACATCGTTTTTTTTCGGTCTTACTGGACCAAGTGTTAATGTTGATTCTAATTGCTGTGGAGGTGCCACAGCATTGCAGGAAGGTTTCATGGCAATTAAAACTGGACGTGCAGAAAACGCTATTGTCGCTTCCAGTAATATTATTTTACATCCAGAAACATCCCTACAATTATCTTTGTTAGGTATTTGCAGTTTTAAAAACTATAATTTTAAAACGAGAAAAAGTTCTATATTCAAATAGCATTATATGAAAATTAGTTTGTCTCACAAAGAATGGTTTTCAACGGATTTTTAAATTTCATTTTCGCTATTGAAACATATTTCAGGACTTTTATCACCCGATGGCATAACAAAAACATTCGATAATGAAGCTGACGGTTACACACGCAGCGAAGCGATTGTAGTGTATTTTCTACAAAAAGCTCGTGACGCAAAGCGCATTTATGCGGAAGTGAAAAATGTCCTCACTGGTTTTGCAAGTAACAGTATTGATCAGTCTCTTCTATACCCAAACTGTGATTCTCAAGTGGACCTCATGAAAAGAACCTTGAAAGAGTGTGGCCTTTCTGGTAAAGATATTTCATACGTCGAAGCAGACGGTTCAGGAATAAAGGATGTTGACGCTGAAGAAGTAAGAGCAATCGACCAGGTTTACAATGAGGGGCGTAAATCACCACTTACTATTGGATCTATCAAATCTAACATTGGCTCTTGTTCAGCTGTTAATCCACTTAATGGAATTATTAAGGTTATAACAGCTATGGAGTCGGGATATATTCCACCTAACCTTCATTTTAAAACACCTTCTGACAAAATCCCTGCTCTTAAAGAAGGTAGATGCAAAGTTGTAACGGAATTAACACCATGGACTGGAGATTATGCAGTCGTTAATAATCTAGCATTAAGCGGGGTATGTAGCAATATTATATTGAAAGATTTCAAAAAGGAAAAGAAGAATAGAGGGAAACCTGACGACAGTCTTCCAAGGCTAGTCATAGCATCAGGATGCACAGAACATGCTGTTGACTTTCTTCTAAGCGATGTGGGTATATACAAACTTGCTTTCGTTTATCCCTATATTTGAACATTGTTTTAAAAAATCAATTTATTTGTGAAGCTGGAAAGCCGACCTGTGGACGTAGAAATTCTTCAGCTTATGTACGATGTATTCGAAACTGAAACTCCAGCCCACTTATATCGAGGTTATACGATATTGCCACCCAGAGAATTGCTAACAAACAAGACAAGAAAAATTCAAAATTGTTCCGGTGAAAAGAAAGAGATTTGGTACATGTTTTCTGGCATGGGCTCTCAATGGGCAGGAATGGGTAAAATTTGGCAAACTACATCTTATCTAATTGCGAAGCTATGAACAAAGAATGTAATCTTAATGTAAAAAGTTTTAATTTTTTAGGAGTAGCTTTATTACAAATACCAGTTTTTGCAAAAGCTATAGAAAAATGCGATCGTGTCTTAAAACCGAGAGGTATTGATATACAGCGGATAATTTCAGAAGAAGATCCAAAAACTTTTGACAACATTGTAAATTCATTTGTTGGAATTGCTGCTATTCAGGTAATAAACACTTTTAGTAATCTGAGTGAATTGAATAAGATAAAAAATCTTAAGACTGAGAAAACGTTTAAGCAAATATGGTTTGGAAATAACAAGCAATGAAAACAACTAATAATTTATTTTAGATTGGTCTAGTAGATGTCTTAGACTCAGTGGGACTGAAACCCGATTTCTTAATTGGGCATTCAGTGGGAGAATTAGGATGTGCTTACGCTGATGGGTGTTTTACAGCAGAACAAATGGTTCTTGCTGCATTAAGTAGAGGATTGGCATCAGTAGAAACGGAAATGCCAAGAGGTTCTATGGCAGCAGTTGGTTTAGGTTACGAAGAAATAAAAAATCTCTGCCCACCAGATATTGATGTAGCGTGCCACAACAGTTCAAGCAGTTCCACTATCAGTGGTCCTGAAAAATCTATGAATGCTTTCGTAAAACAATTACAAGTAAGACAAATTTGAATTCTAAATTTTATCTTAAAGTATAACAATATTTCGAAATCATAAAAAAATTAATAATTTTTTTAAGGAGAAGAACATTTTTGCTAAAGAAGTAGCATGCAGTAACATAGCCTACCACAGTCGGTACATTGCTCCAGCGGGTGAAAAATTAAAAAAATACCTTCAGGATGTAATTCCTAATCCTAAACCTAGGTCTAACCTTTGGTTGAGCAGTTCAGTACCACGCGACGAATGGAATTCAGCCAGGGCTCGTCTATCATCTGCAGAATATCATACAAATAACTTTCTAAATTCCGTTCTGTTTGCCGAAACATTAAAATGCATTTCACCAAACGCAGTTGTTATTGAAATAGCCCCACATGGTCTTCTTCAAGCAATCGTCAGAAAATCATTACCAGACGATGTTATTGTTGTACCCTTAGCTAAACGAAATCATCCAGACAATGTGTCATTTCTTCTTGGTGCTTTAGGGAATATTTACAACGCTGGCTGTATTTTAAAAGTTTCGAATCTTTATCCTAAGGTCGAATATCCAGTATCGCGGGGAACACCATCTCTTTCTTCGCTAATTCAATGGGACCAGCCAAATACATTGTAAGAATTAATTATTTGATTTTTAATTTCACCCTTAACATTGAACCACTAAACATATCAACGAAATAAAGAAAATTTTATAAAGGTTTTCTTAAATAATAAATTACCAATTTAAACGTTATCAAAATTAATTAGACAATACGTAATAATTATATATCGTCATTCTCATGTACAAATAGAGGCACTAACGTTCAAAAACGAAAGCCAAAATTTAGAAAGGGACAGATGAACTTCCTAGTGAATTTAAATGATGATAATTGGAAATTTCTAAACCATGCCAAAATTCAAGGCATACCTGTTATACCAATAAGTCTTTACTTAAATACTGCATGGGATATTGTAAAGGGATTTCAAAACAGTTCTGAATTCTCAATAGTTTACAGAAATGTAATAATTCATGAACAGCTAGTAGAAATTCCAGTCGATGGAAATATTGAATTAGTAACAATGGTTCAAAAAGGTAGATGATTATTTATTTAATGACACAATTGGTTGATATATAACATATTACTTCTTTTAGGCTCTGGTTACTTTCAAGTATTAAATAACAACATCTTACTTTGCACTGGAATTTTGGAAGTAACAACTGAGCAAGACTACGTACAAAGTCATCAGGATAACACAGTTTCTCATGATCTAAGTGAAAATGAAATTTATGCTGAACTAGAAATGCGAGGTTTGCAATATTCAGGTCCCTTTAGATTAATCAGTAAATCATCAATCAATAGTACCACTGGATGTTTAGTTTGGAAGGACAATTGGACAACATTTTTAGACGGAATGATTCAGATGTATGTCTTTGGAAACGACACGAGAAAGGCACAGGTTCCAATTAAAATTAGAAAAATCTTTATTGATATGAAACTGCATAAAGAAATTACTAATAAATCGAAAGGTACGTAGTTGGAATTATTAACGATCTATAACATTTGCTAGAAAACAGAAAACTAATTGTTGTAAGCATTTTCAGAAATACCAATAACAGTTCAAAAAAGACTTGGAAATATTTGCGCAGGAGGGGTACATATGAAAGGTGTCGTTCTTGAAACTATTCTAAATGATTCTTCGGAACCAAAAATTATTATTAAAGAAATTTTACCGGGTAGAGTTTTGGGAACATTCGAACATATTCCTCTTTCCTGTAATCTTCATCAAGTATCTAATTATCAAGCAGGGCAGATGAAATCTTTTGATCTAAATTCCATTTCCTGGATTGAGACACCCCCAACAAAAGATGAAAACAAAGTAAAAGTTGAATACTCTTCGGTTAATGCAGAAGATAATCTTTTAATAAACACGAAAACATCGTTAGAAGACTCTGGAAGAAATGGTCTCGGAATAAATTCATTCGGTCAAGAATATTCTGGAATTAATTGCGAAGGAAATAGACTAATGGGAATTGTAAGAAATAACGCAGTTTCAAATTACATTACACCTGATAATCACTTTACATGGATAATACCGGACAATTGGACCTTGGAAGACGCTGTGACTGTACCTCTCGCTCACACAACTGCTTATTTGGCTTTGATTATAAAGGGAAAATTAAAAAACAACGAATCAGTTTTCATCTATAATGGCGCTTGTTCCATTGGTCAAGCTATAATTAAACTAGCATTAGATATGAATTCGGTATTATTTGTTGGATGTAATAGTGATGACGACAAAAATTTTCTAAAAAAAGTGTACCCAAAGATTTCCGATAATCACTTTATACAATCAACAAAAAATTTTAAAAATCAATTATTCTTTTTAACAAAAACCAGAGATATAAATTTAGTGATATACAATAACGATGATTTGAATAATCTAGAAGACTATTTCATTTTAGTAAAAAGTTGTGGAAGAATCGTTGTCATTGGAAATTTACAAGGTTCACATCTTAATTCGATAGGTATGCTACCGTTTAATGAGAATGTTACTATGCTGTCAGTCATTCCCAAAAAAATATTAAACTATGATCTTGAAACGAAAAAGAAATTATCAAACATGATGGTTAGAGGAATATCGTCTCAAATTGTGAAACCTCTGCCGAAACGTGTTTACTCTGGAAAAATGTTAAAAAATGATTTTATCGATACAGCTTCAGAGGATGTACGTTACAAAGTAACTATAAGTCTTTCGCTTTTTTGTACAAAAGAAACTTTTCACGCTTTTATTTGAAATAATGATAACTCGTTTTTTAGATAATTTTCAAACTACAACCGGTTGATGGAGGAAAAACAGCACCGCGCTTCTTCTGTAGAACAAAGGGATGTTATTTAATACTTCATGGATTGAATTACTTTGGTCTAGATCTAATTGAATTTTTAGTTCTCAGAGGTGCTAAAAATATTTTTATAGCTAACGAAACAAAAAACACGAATGCTGTTGTAGAACATAGACTAAAAATGTGGAGAGAAAGTGGAGTAAATGTTATAGTTCATCAAGAATTAGACTTTACGCATTACCAAAATGGAAATACTCTTCTTGAAGAAGTTAAGAAACTGGGCTCAGTAGATGCAATTTTTGATCTTCAGCGGCTTGACAATTCATTAAGAACATGTTCTAATATGAAATATTTATTTACCAAGAACCTCTTTGACGAATCTAAGCTAATGTACCCTAATTTACGACATTTTGTTGTCTTTTCAACGTGTATCGATATCAGTGAAAGTATTGATGACATTTTGTTAAGAGAAATAGATTTGACGAAAATTTTCCAACCAAAATCAAAAGAAAAAGTTGGATTATTGATTCTACTAGGACCAGTTTTTGGAATTGTGGAGAGCACAAGTGAAAATGAGAAGAATGTGCCTTTGTTGACTAACACTATTATTATAAAACAAATGGATAATTTGCTTGGATCAAACGGGGCCATTATATCTATTACCCCTAATCCTTCAGAAGCCAGTCTTAAGAAGGTGAGATTTAAATTAGCTGCATTTTATTCTTTAACAATATAAAAATTAACATAATATTTTATAAACCTGATTTGAAATTTCAGCGGCAAAATACAAATATTGCTTATGAAGAATCAGAAAGATCGAAATTCGAAAATTACATTACAGGAGGTCAATCTTTAACGTCCTGAAGATTTCAGCACTTAAATTAATGTTATGATTACTATACACATTTTTCAAAATTAATTGTTATCAGAACAATTTTAGAGCATTTGCAAGACAGAAATTATTTGAAAAATAAATAATAATTTTAGAATTTAACACCTTAAAAAGATTTTTCTATTGTGCAGCAAAATCCGATAAATATATAAATACAATTTTTTAAAAATGAGTAAACCTGAATGTAACAATTAATTTTTGGAAAAACCCTAGTTACACCATTTTATTTTTAGAAATTTCAGATAAGTAAAATCTACAATATCCATAATTAAATAATATTTCAAAACAATTAAAAGTCTCAATCAGTAGACAATGTTTTTTGAATAATCAAGCTTTTTTTAGTAATGAACCCAAGTATGTAATTAAACTTTGAACTCCTGGCAATGCAGATTTTAAAAGTAAATTATTGAAGGCACTAATCATATAACTAAACAATTTTAATTTATTTAAATGCAACTGACCTCAGAATCGGTAGCAAGTAATTGCAAAACGAATAATAAAAATCAAGAACATAAAAAGAAGTGTGTTTTAAATATATCGATCATATCGGGCGTATACGCACAAAAAACATTCTTCAACAAATTTGAAACAGCAACTTACAACTAAATAAATATTGTAAACAAATTTTTTGTCTATATAATAAAAGAAAAATAAATAAAAAATGGAATCAACATTAACAGGAGAGGAAATAGTGATATCCGGTATAGCTGGAAGATTTCCTAACAGTGATAATATTAACGAATTGCAGAATAATCTTTTCAACAAAATAGACTGTGTTAGTGACTCCAAAAATCGATGGGACTTTGGTATAAATTAAATAAAAAATTTAGTTCTATAATTATATTAAACAGAAAGACGTATGTCTTGATTAAAAAAAACTCTTTCTCTTTTAAAATAATGTCGCAAGTAATTCGAACACAACTACACGTTGATTTTATACACTAAAAGAGGACAAAAGATAAATACACACTAACAATTAATTACTACTAGTAAATAAAAATATTTTACAGAACATCCTCAAATTCCTGAGCGTATTGGTACGATGAAAAATATTAACAAATACGATCGCGTATTTTTTGGAGTTCATGGCAAAATGATAAATAGTATGGATCCTATGATAAGAATAATAACTGAAATTGCCTACGAAGCAATCGCGGATGCTGGTATTAATCCAAAAAGTTTGAAAGGAAGTAATTCGGCTGTAATTACTGGAAGCAGTTTTTCAGAATCAGAAAATGCAACTTTTTACGAAAAACTTTTGGTATGATAATTCATTGATTTGGTCACAAACTAAAAGTTTATCTTTTTCTATAATTTAAATTAATTCAAAATTCTAAACTAAAATTCTAAGTTATAACATTTTTTAATTAAGATTTTAATTAAATTATTTGTCAGAGGAAATAATTTATATTCTAGCTAAATGGATACGGCATAATAGGAACCAGTCATGCTATGTTGGCAAACAGAATTTCGTTTTTTCTCGGCCTTACTGGACCAAGTGTTAATCTTGATACAAATTGTTGTGCGAGTGCTACTGCCTTGCAGGAAGGAGTCATGGCATTAAAATCTGGACGTGCCGAAAATGCCATTATAGGGGCCAGTAATGTTATTTTACATCCACAAATGTCACTACAATTATTTTTACTAGGTACAAGCAATTCCTAACTTATAATTGTTACAAATGCTTATTTACTTAAAGGGAAGTCCTATACTAAAAAGTTTTAATACAAATTTCAGGACTTTTATCCCCTGATGGAATCACAAAATCATTCGACAATGAAGCTAATGGTTATACTCGCAGCGAAGGAACTGTAGTTCTATTCCTTCAAAAAGCTCGTGATGCTAAACGTATTTATGCAGAAGTAAAAAATGTTGAATGTTCCTTTGCAAAAGCTATTAATGATAAGCTTCTTTTTTATCCTACACACGATTCTCAAACAGATCTCATGAGAAAAACCTTAAAAGATTGTGATCTTTCTGGTAGAGATATTTCTTATGTCGAAGCTGATGGTTCTGGCATAAAAGATATTGATGCTGAAGAAGTAAGAGCTATTAATGAAGTTTATAATGAGGAAAGAAACTCGCCTCTTCTTCTTGGATCTATTAAATCAAATATTGGATGTTGTTTAGCTGTGAATCCACTTAATGGAATTATTAAGGTTATAACAGCAATGGAATCTGGGCACATTCCACCGAATCTTCATTTTAAAACACCATCTGACAAAATCCCTGCTCTTACAGAAGGTAGATGCAAAGTTGTAACGGAATCAACTCCCTGGAATGGGGACTATGCAGTGATTAATAATTTTACATTCGGTGGTGTATGTTCTAACATTGTATTGAAGAAATTCAAAAACGAAAAGAAAAATAACGGAAAACCTGACGATAGACAGCCCAGATTAGTCACAGTATCAGGATGTACGGAAAAAGCTGTTAACTTTCTCCTAAGCGATGTGAGTAATTACAAACTTGCTTTTATGTCTCCATGTCATCAACTTCCTAAAATTGTTAATTGTCAAACTTAGCAACATTGTTTAAGAAATTAATTTTTCACAGTTGGAAAGTCGACCTGTGGATGTAGAAATGCTTCAACTTGTGTACGATGTATTTGAAACTGAAACTCCATCTCACTTATATCGAGGTTATACATTATTGCCTTCAAGTGGATTGCTGACAATAAAAACAAGAAATATTCAAAATTTCCCAGGTGTTAAGAGAGAAATTTGGTACATGTTTTCTGGCATGGGTTCTCAATGGGTGGGAATGGGTAAGATTTAGCACACTACCATCAAACTAAGAATGTTATAATGAACTAAAGATTTTTTAATTTCGCAGGCAAAGCTCTTTTACAAATACCAGTTTTTGCAGAAGCCATAAAGAAATGCGACAAAGTTCTTAAGCCTCACGGTATCGACATTGTACGTATCATTACAGACAATGATCCAAAAATCTTTGACAATATTGTTCATTCTTTTGTTGGAATTGCTGCTATTCAGGTAATGAACACTTTCAGTAATCTGAGTGAATTGAATAAGGTACAAAATCTTTAGATTGAGAAAACGTCTAAGCAAACATGGTTTGGAAATAACAAACTATAAAAACAACTTATAATTTAATTTAGATTGGTCTAGTAGATGTCTTAGACTCAGTGGGACTGAAACCCGATTTCTTAATTGGGCATTCAGTGGGAGAATTAGGATGTGCTTACGCTGATGGGTGTTTTACAGCAGAACAAATGGTTCTTGCTGCATTAAGTAGAGGATTGGCATCAGTAGAAACGGAAATGCCAAGAGGTTCTATGGCAGCAGTTGGTCTAGGTTACGAAGAAATAAAAAATCTCTGCCCACCAGATATTGATGTAGCGTGCCACAACAGTTCAAGCAGTTCCACTATCAGTGGTCCTGCAGATTCTATGAAAACCTTCGTAAAACAATTACAAGTTAGATCAATATAAATTCTAAATTTTTATCTTTAAGTAAAACAATATTTCGAAATCATAAAAAAAATTTTTAAATTATTTAAGGAGAAGAAAATTTTTGCTAAAGAAGTGGCATGCAGTAACATAGCCTACCACAGCCGGTACATTGCTCCAGCGGGTGAAAAATTAAAAAAATACCTTCAGGAGGTAATCCCTAATCCCAAACGTAGAAGTAATCGATGGGTGAGCAGTTCAGTTCCGCGCGATGAATGGGATTCAGCAAGAGCTCATCTATCATCTGCAGAATATCACACAAATAACCTTTTAAATCCTGTTCTCTTTGCCGAAACTGCAAAGTCTATTTCACCGAATGCAGTTGTTATCGAAATAGCCCCGCAGGGTCTTATGCAAGCTATTGTTAAACGATCATTTCCCAAAAGCGTTATCAATATACCATTGACCAAAAGAGATTACCCAGAAAATGTTTCATTTCTTTTTGAAGCAATAGGTAAACTGTATAATACTGGTTGCAATATCAAAATCTCAAATCTTTATCCTAAAGTAAGCTATCCTGTATCACGAGGAACTCCATCAATTTCGCCCCTAATTCAATGGGACCACTCAGTTAATTGGTGAGCAATAAATAATCTTGAAAACCATTATAAATTACAAAACAAATCCATAATAATAGAACCTAAAATTATTTATGTAACAATTTCCACCTTCGCAATACTTACATTTATAATTACAATACAAACATTAATTCAAAATTTGGTTTAAGAACAGGAAGACTAGCGCAAACAACTTAATGCATCAAGAAAAAGCAGGATACAAAGAATTCACAGTAAATTTAAATGATGAGAAGTGGAAATTTTTAAATCACGCCAGGATTGAAGGCAAAATAGTAATACCAATAACTCTGTACTTAAAACTCGCATGGAGTGTTTTAAAATTGTCACTTAAGAATTCTGAATACTCACTAGTTTATCACAATGTACAAATTCATAAGCAACAAGTAGAAATACCTAGCAACAAAAGTGTGAACTTAGTAGCAATGGTTCAAACAGGTTCCGGTTACTTTCAAGTAACAAATAACGAAAATTTGCTATGCTCTGGAATATTGCAAGTAACCTCTGAAGAGAATCGTATACAATTTAATAAGGATGATAAAATTTATCAAGGTCTAAGTGAAAATGAAATTTATGTTGAATTACAAATGCGAGGTTTGCAATATTCAGGTCCGTTTAGAAGTATTCATAAATCATCAATCAATGGTAGAAATGGAAATATATTTTGGCAAGACAATTGGACAACATTTTTAGATGGTATGATTCAGATGTTTGTCCTTGGAAACGATACGAAAAATGCACAAGTTCTAATTAAAATTAGAAACATTTTTATTGATACGAAGGTACATAAAGAAATAACTACAAAAACCAATGGTGGGTACTGCAGTTTGAATAAAAACAAAAAATTAAGTATTAATTGTTGTTAACATTTTCAGAAATACCAGTAACAGTGCATAGAGGATTGGGAAATATTAGCGCAGGAGGAGTTCAAATGGAAGGAGTTGTTCTGGAATCTATTCTAAACGAATCTTGGAGACAGAATATTGTTATTGAAGAAATTTTACCTGATACAATGTTGGGCACATACAAACATTCACCAATTTACTCTAAGCTTAAACAAGTGTCTAATTGGAAAGCAGAGCAGCTAAAATCCTCAGATTTAAATTCAATTTCCTGGATTGAGGAACTCCCAACAAAGGTTGAAAACAAAGTCAAGGTCGAATACTCTTCGGTTAATGAAGATGATATTCTACCTACAGAGAGTGAAACATCATTAGAAGACTATGGAAAAAATAGATTCGATATGAAATTATTTGGTCAAGAATATTCTGGAATTAATGCACAAGGAAGTAGAGTAATGGGAATTGTTCCAAACAATGCATTTGCAAATTACACAATACCTGATAATGATTTAACCTGGAAAATACCTAACAATTGGTCCTTGGAAGATGCTGTGACTGTACCTTTAGCATACGCAACTGCATATTTGGCTTTGATGATAAAGGGCAAACTAGATATTAATAAATCCGTTTTTGTTTACGACGGCGCTTGTTCTATTGGACAAGCAATAATTAATCTAGCATTAGATGTTAAATCAAAAATATTCATTGGATATAATAGTCATGACGATAAAAATTTCCTGAAACAATATTATCCAAATATTCTTGATAACCACTTTATTGAAATTAATAAAGGTTTTAGAAATCAAATATTTACACAAACTGAACTAAAGGGAGTTGACCTAGTTATATACAATGAAGATAATTTAAGTAACCTAGACGAGTGGTTTCTGTATGTGAGAAGAAGTGCAAAATTCATTGTCATTGGAAATTTACAAAAATCGAGTAATACCTCAATAGGTATGTCGCTTTTTAGAAAGCATGTTACCATGTCATCAGTCATTCCGAAAAATATTATAAAACTAGATCTAGAAACAAAACTAAAATTGTCAGAAATGATGAAAGAGGGAATATCGTCGCAAATTGTAAAACCACTGCCAAAACGCGTTTACTCTAGGCTAATGTTAAAAGATGCTTTTATTGGCAGAGCTTCAAAGGATATTTCGCACAAAGTAACTATTATTTTCTAAACTTTTTCGCCTTTTGTTAAATAGGTCCAGAACATTTTTTCCATTTTTGTTTCGAACTAATCGTAATCCGTTATTTTTAGATAATTGTCAAAGTACAACCGGATGATGAAGGAAAAACAGCATCGGCAGTACCTCGCTTCTTCTGTAGAACCAAGGGATCTTATCTAATACTGAATGGATTGAATTACTTTGGTCTAAATCTAATTGAATTGTTAGTTGCTAGAGGTGCTGAAAATATTCTGATAGCTATCGAATCAAACAATACGAATGCTTTTCTAGACCATAGATTAAATGTATGGAGAAAACGTGGAGTAGTAATTACAATTCTTGAAGGATTGGACTTTACGGATTATCAAAGTGGGAATGCCCATCTTAAAGAAATTGGTACAGTGGATGCAATTTTCGATCTTCAACGCCTAGACAATTCATCAGAAAGGTCCTCCAATTCGAAGTACTTGTTCACCAAACATCTCTTTGAAGAATCTAAGCAAATGTGCCCTAATTTACGCCATTTTGTTGTCTTTTTAACAAGCAACCATATTGGAGAAAGCATTGGCGATACTTTGTTAGGAGAAATTGATTTGACGCAACTTTTCCAATCAAAAGGAGTCGCGGGACTTTTGATTCTTCTGGGACCCGTTACCGGAATTGCGGAAGAAACAACTGAAAACGAAGGAAATGAACCTCTATTGTCTATTCCTGGTATTATAGAACAAATTGATATTTTACTTGCATCAAATGCGACTATTGTATCAGTTTCAAAGTTAGATGACAATTCCAAAAAGGTCAGTAATTTAACTTGACTGTATTATTTAATCAAATCAGGAATTTTACAGTTAAATTAATATATAATTTAATAAATTTGGTTATAAATTTCAGATGGAAAAAGAAAATGTTGAAATAGAATCAGAAAGGTCGAAGTTTGAAAACTATATTAATAGCTGTTAAACTCGAGACGAGATCATGGACGAAAATAAATTTATGTTCTATCCAATAAAGTTTATTTTATTAAATTGTTAAACCTGATAATTTTACAAAATGTTATTTCGAAAATCGTCAGGTTTAACATCGTAAACTTTAATGCTATGATTGTTTTGGGCACTAGATCAATTAAAACTCCTATGCTCGAATTTCACTCAATAATAGAAAACCGTATACAAAAATCTAAGAAGCAAAACAATGAACACCTAAACCAGTTTGTAATTTTAGGGAATGCTCTTATTTCTTATCGCTTGAGGAGAAAATACATAAATAAATATAAGCAGGAAAAAAAGGAGGACTAGAGTTTTCGCATGTGCGAATGGAGGTACCATACGGGAATTGATTTCTATAATCTAATCAGTGAAGCGGACGTTCTCTTCTCTTCCTGGAAACCGGGTCGTCGCGCGCGGTATTATACGCAGAAAACTAAGACACAAGAGAGGGTCTCGTGGGCGAGGAATTGAGCTAAAAAAAGGACAAGTACGAAAAAGCAAAAAGTTGAAAGAAACTAAAGGGATCCAAGGCGACGAGAGGTCAGAGGAGATACAAGACGCGACTGTGAGTGGGACTCGCACATAGGTAACTTAACTTACCCCGCACGATTCACCGCATGAAATATCGCGAACACTGTTTCAACTTCAGCCTAAGCGATGTATTTCCAGCAACATCACTTGATCTAATTTGTTACACTTTTCAACTAATTTATTACAACAGTCTTGCACCTTAACGAATTAATGTTCTGTGTACTCTTTTCTCTCTCTTTTATGAGAGAGAGCAATGAATGTGTATTTTTGATCGTTTTTATCGCCTTGTTCACCGTCAAAATTCAACTATGAAATCGTCTCCATTCTGATAAATTGTAAATCACAGGCTTCACACTCAATAGTTACTTTTATAAAAGTAGCAAAAAGTAGCTATTGAAAAATTAAAATTGACGACTAAAAAAAATCCTTTTAGTCGATTTTAAAAAATTTGATTTAAAATTTCCTTTCTCCTTATTTCCACAAAAAAATATTTACGTTTTTTCATATACTGTTAATAATTTAAATTCTTAATTTTTCTAAAATTCAATTATTTACCAAATTTTTAGATAGAATTCTTCAAAAATACGATTGTATTTAAAAATAATTTTTGAAAGTAATAAAATAAAATTGTTTAAAATATAAAATTTATTTCAACTAAATTTGACAAAATTACCAACTAATTAAATATTTAATTCAAACTTTTTAAATTATTTACGGGAATTTAACTAAATTTCGAAAAAAAATTTAATTACAATTTTTTATAAGATGAATATTTTTTTCATAAACTTTAAATTAAATTATTTAAAAATTGAAAAATCTTTGTTAAATACTTATTTATTTGTCCACAAGAGCTAAATTTTTTAACAATTTTAATTAAAAAACTTTTTGGAATTTATGTATTTTTAAAAATAAAAAAGCATAACTCTAATTCTTCCAAAATTTAATTGTTCTTATTACAGGATTCCTACAGAAATCCGAATTAAAAATTTCATACCTTTTCCATGATTTCCAGGTCAAATTTTTTACGAAATTCCAGTGGAATTTTAAATCTAATTTCAATATTTTTAGGCTCTTTAAAAACACTTTACTTATTTAATAGTCTCCACCCCTTGGGTAAAAAATCAAAAATTATCAAAATTTATTAAAAATTCGAAAAACCGATTTTTTAAAAATTTAACAGTTTTTCTTCTCTTTGATAGTATATAGCTTCATTATTTTTGTGCTCTTGGAAAATACTTTACTTATTTAATAGTCTCGACTCTTTGGTAAAAATTCCAGAAATTTAATTGTTCTTATTACAGGATTCCTACAGAAATCCGAATTAAAAATTCCATACCTTTTCCATGATTTCCAGGTCAAATTTTTTACGAAATTCCAGTGGAATTTTAAATCTAATTTCAATATTTTTAGGCTCTTTAAAAACACTTTACTTATTTAATAGTCTCCACCCCTTGGGTAAAAAATCAAAAATAAACAAAATTTATTAAAAATTCGAAAAACCGATTTTTTTAAAATTTAACAGTTTTTCTTCTCTTTGATAGTATTTAGCTTCATTATTTATGGACTCTTGGAAAATACTTTACTTATTTAATAGTCTCGACTCTTTGGTAAAAAATCTAAAACTATCGAAAATTATCAAAAATTCAAAAATCCGAATTTCTTAAAATTCAACATTTTTTCCTCTCTTTTATTGGATTTAGCTTCATTATGTTTGTGCTCTTGGAAAATACTTTACTTATTTAATAGTCTTGACTCTTTGGTAAAAAATCTAAAATTATTGAAAATTATCAGGCTCGGTGAAAATAGCGACCCGCCGGCCGCCAACCATCAGAAGAATCCATAGGCGCCGACACACATAGTAGCGCAGTGGTCCTATACGGTTCAATCAACGCAAATACAACGTACGATAGCTAATACAGTTTATAGAAAAAAATTGCAATAGTCACATTTTATTAAAGAGCAATAATCCCCCTTTAATTTGTAAACAAGAAATAAAAATTTGGTCTAAAATTGTTCGAGTTATGATTTTTTTTTGAAATTTTTCCAAATTTTCGTTTTTCTGATACGGGCGGGTGGGGACGCTGGCTATTAAAAATTGTTTTAGAAAATTCCTATTGGTCCAATGAAAAGAAGCATTAATCCCTCTTTAATTTGCGACCAAGAAATAAACATTTGGTCTAAAATTCTTCGAGTTATGAATTTTTTTGGAACTTTTTTTCCAAATTTTCGATTTTCTGATACGGGCGGGTGGGGACGCTAGGTATCAAAAATTGTTTTAGAAAATTCCTATTGGTCCAATGAAAAGAAGAATTAATCCCTCTTTAATTTGCAACCAAGAAATAAACATTTGGTCTAAAATTGTTCAAGTTATGAATTTTTTTGGAACTTTTTTTCCAAATTTTCGTTTTTCTGATACGGGCGGGTGGGGACGCTGGCTATCAAAAATTGTTTCAGAAAATTCCTATTGGTCCAATGAAAAGAAGAATTAATCCCTCTTTAATTTGCGACCAAGAAATAAACATTTGGTCTAAAATTCTTCGAGTTATGAATTTTTTTGAAACTTTTTTTACAAATTTTCGTTTTTCTGATACGGGCGGGTGAGGACGCTGGCTATTAAAAATTGTTTTAGAAAATTCCTATTGGTCCAATGAAAAGAAGCATTAATCCCTCTTTAATTTGCGACCAAGAAATAAACATTTGGTCTAAAATTCTTCGAGTTATGAATTTTTTTGGAACTTTTTTTCCAAATTTTCGATTTTCTGATACGGGCGGGTGGGGACGCTAGGTATCAAAAATTGTTTAAAAAAATTCCTATTGGTCCAATGAAAAGAAGCATTAATCCCCCTTTAATTTGTAAACAAGAAATAAAAATTTGGTCTAAAATTGTTCCAGTTATGATTTTTTTTTGAAATTTTTCCAAATTTTCGTTTTTCTGATACGGGCGGGTGGGGACGCTGGCTATTAAAAATTGTTTTACACGGAGAGACCCACATTCGTAAAAATTACTAAAAATGGTTGCAATGACCGGAAATAAGGGGACTTTTAGCATAATGTGCTACAGAATTAGATAAATTTACAAAAGAAATAGATAAATTTGCTACATTGAAATAGCAAGTTTTAATATTTTGTGTAAGAGTTGTAAATGTAGCAAAAATTGATTATAGTTTTCTCTAATTTAATTAGACAAAATCTGACAAATGAAAACATTTTCCACTAAAACCTACGATCCACTGTAGTAATTTTTGGTGAGCAAGTGTGGCTAGCGAGTGCAGTCATATGGCGCCTGCATTTCTATTGGTTGCTAACTTCGTCAATCTCCGTAAATGAGCCGATGCCATCCGATCATTGACAGTGACTATGTTTCGCGTATGTAAAATAAATTTGGATATTATCTACAATAATTAAATATAAAGTGAAACGTAGGTCGTTCGTTATCTCAGAAATTGACCATTATAAATTAATAAACTTTGCATTTATTCCTGTCCCAAGAACTATGTCTTATAATAAGTTGTTAAAAGTAAACTGCTTTCTCGTAAGTGCTGTAAATTTTCATCATTCAATATATAAGGAAACAAAGATGTATACTTTCAGTGAAATTCGTTGTCGTGCGTGCAGTTGTGTATTAGTGTATTAATTAACCGCGTCTATACATATAAGTGAAATAAACATGTGTGTGTCTTCAAATATTTATCCAACAAATATATAAGTGTGTGTGTGTGTCTGTGTATGTAAAAATCCTTCCAGTTTGTCTCCATTAGTCAAGAATTGACGGGAAACCGGCGACAAAAATCCGTATTTTTTCTTTCATTCTTTCTTTCTGCATTTACAAACGACTGTAGTAATTTTACGTGCACAATGCTTCTGAGTTTACTACAGTTATTTGGAACTATTGGACGAAATAGTAAGAAACTTTGCTAATTTGGTGAACATTTGTCGGGATTAGTGACTTAGTGTAGAAAATAGTAAAAAATACAAAAAGTCCCCTTATTTCCGGTGGTTGCAATGTGAAAATAGTAAATTCTAGTGTGATTTTATACAAAAATTAGTAATCTCGGTCTCTCCGTGTAGAAAATTCCTATTGGTCCAACGAAAAGAAGAATTAATCCCTCTTTAATTTGCGACCATGAAATAAACATTTGGTCTAAAATTGTTCGAGTTATGAATTTTTTTTGAACTTTTTTTCCAAATTTTCGTTTTTCTGATACGGGCGGGTGGGGACGCTAGGTATCAAAAATTGTTTTAGAAAATTCCTATTGGTCCAATGAAAAGAAGAATTAATCCCTCTTTAATTTGCGATCAAGAAATAAACATTTGGTCTAAAATTGTTCAAGTTATGAATTTTTTTGGAACTTTTTTTCCAAATTTTCGTTTTTCTGATACGGGCGGGTGGGGACGCTGGCTATCAAAAATTGTTTAAAAAAATTCCTATTGGTCCAATGAAAAGAAGAATTAATCCCTCTTTAATTTGCGACCATGAAATAAACATTTAGTCTAAAATTGTTCGAGTTATGAATTTTTTTGGAACTTTTTTTCCAAATTTTCGTTTTTCTGATACGGGCGGGTGGGGACGCTGGCTATCAAAAATTGTTTTAAAAAATTCCTATTGGTCCAATGAAAAGAAGCATTAATCCCCCTTTAATTTGTAAACAAGAAATAAAAATTTGGTCTAAAATTGTTCGAGTTATGATTTTTTTTTGAAATTTTTCCAAATTTTCGTTTTTCTGATACGGGAGGGGGGGGACGCTGGCTATCAAAAATTGTTTTAAAAAATTCCTATTGGTCCAATAAAAAGAAGCATTCACCCCTCTTTAATTTGCGACCATGAAATAAATATTTGGTCTAAAATTGTTCGAGTTATGAATTTTTTTTGAACTTTTTTTCCAAATTTTTGTTTTTCTGATACGGGCGGGTGGGGACGCTGGATATCAAAAATTGTTTTAAAAAATTCCTATTGGACCAATGAAAAGAAGCATTAATCTCTCTTTAATTTGCTACCATGAAATAAACATTTGGTCTAAAATTGTTCTAGTTATGAATTATTTTTGAACTTTTTTTCCAAATTTTCGTTTTTCTGATACGGGCGGGTGGGGACGCTGGATATCAAAAATTGTTTTAAAAAATTCCTATTGGACCAATGAAAAGAAGCATTAATCTCTCTTTAATTTGCGACCATGAAATAAACATTTGGTCTAAAATTGTTCTAGTTATGAATTTTTTTTGAACTTTTTTTCCAATTTTTGTTTTTTTGAGTAAAGGGTGATTATTGCTCCTTAAAATGTGACCATTGAAAATTTTTTAAATAAATTTATGATAGACGTTCCACCCGCCCGTATCAGAAAAACGAAAATTGGAGAAAAAATCGAAAAAATTTCATAACTCCAACAATTTTAGACCAAATTTTTATTT